GTTAGACGTCTAACAATTAGACGCTAACACTTTAGACGTAAACCTTTTAGACTTGAAACGGTTAGACTGTAAATTTTTAGACGTTAACTATAGACCCAAACGGTACCCCCCAAAATTAACTGGAGAAGGTGGCCGTTCCGGCCGAACGAGTAGCAAAGGTCGACATCGGCAATGGTCGATTCGTGGCGAACGGTCAGAGGTCGATTCGCGAACGGTCATACGTCGATGCCCGAACGCACCGAACCAGTCGAACCTAGTTCACCATTGTGCATTTTTACTTTTCATTTTATCGTTTGTTGCAAATGGAGCATTATGTTTAGGCTGCTTGTCTTTGCCGTGGACGACACTAAAGACCTCTAAGTTTAAGTAGCCCTCTTAGCAGAACGAGAGCCATAATGGATCAGGAAATTCCATCAATGGTTGTAAATTAAACTAAATTTATGCTTTGTTTCTGACCCTTAAAGTAGATACCTAAATAAACAGGTCTCGATTTTTAATTTGACCTCGACTGATGAGCAATAAAAGCCTAGCGTCACCACATCAATGTCTTCCTTTTCTTCATCAGAGAAAGGCTATGTCCAATAATAGACTTAATTGAAAATGAACTTTGGAGAAACGTTCTCCTCTTAATTTTGCACCATGATTTGAAGAGAAAGGTCTTCAGGATTTTTCCATTCTGATACTTGGAGGGAATTTAAGTTTTTTTAATATCTTTTCTAATAAGACCCAGCTGGGGTGCTAAGTGGCTTTTTTTATTTATTTTTATCTTTTAATGTGATAAGACATACACATCAATGGTGAACCTAGAAAAATTTCCATTGTGCAAGGAATATGGATTGATAGCATCTCAGAATCGGTGCATTACATGCAATTTTTCTTCATGCACTGATCCGTTATGCTTCAAAATAGTAAAAAATTTAAGAACATCTGAAATGATGCAACTGCAGATAGGATTGTGGTTAAGTGATGTCACCTTCATTATGCATCCCCTTAAAATGGAAGGATTTATAAAATGAACTTCAAATTTCTTCAATGAAAGTGAAAAACTCTTATGAAGTTGCGTGTACAAATCAATGTCTCATTTCTGTGTTTTCAGAAACAAGTCGCGGTGAAAATGCCTAATTTTTTTTTTAATTTCATGGAAAATAAACTTGATTTTTCTCGTCCTTGAAAGTATCATGTCCTACCGCGATGTGCAAAAAGAATGCTCGATAGGTACCTATGTCATAACTTTTTCCATGTTTGAATTAAAATGTTCCGATTAGGACTAGTGTGAGAAGTTCCAGTTGTACTTCTTTGAGGCTGGGCCTCAGCCGGCTCTTTCACTTTTGCAGTCAAGTATACTTAGTGTTTCATCCACTTATCTTTTTGTGTTCGTGTTTTCAGCACCCTGTCTCTCTTTAGTAGGGAGCCGAGGCACCCTTCTATGACTCAGTCTTGTCACGTTACAGTATGAGGAACTGCGCAAAAGCAGATTGAAGCAAAGGAAACTGTGTCGGTAGTAAATTCTAGGTATCCTACATGAATGTATTTATTTCCAAGTAACTCCTGTGGGTAACAAAACGTTGGCTTCCACATCAAGAATAAAGTTGTCAAAGTAGAGGCTTGAAGGCAACTTACAATGAGGTAGATGTAAAGACCTGTGATATTAAAGCGTATTAAAGGTGATAAGGAACTTTACCATCGAAGAAATCTTCACTCATGGCGACTATGACCATGGAGCAGAGACGTTTCCCTCGCTGTATAAGAAAATCTGCCATTAAAGTTTTTCAAGAACAAGAAAAGCTACAGTTTCATCTGCATTTTTCATCAACTTGGTTCTCAAGAAACCTTCAATGATCAGACGCAATGATATGCTCCTTTGGCGTGGTAGCGAGTGGAGATAATCTATGAACTGCGGAAAGACTACTTTTTCCTCAAAAAGTGGATTTTTCCACCTACCTACGCGAAAGTCGTAGAGTGTCCACTCAATTAGGGCTCAGACTGAAAAAGAAATTAATTAATTAATTTAAACTGACTCAAAAACACTTCCGGATTGAACAGCTTCGATTAACTTCCCACCGTTCCGACAATGAACAGCAGTGGCTAGGCAAGAAATTACTACTAAACAGACACACTGCCAAAAAAATAATTTATCCGACGACATGCGAAAATTTATTCAGTGAAAAATATTAGACGTTCTTGACTATTAAATAGGTAGATGTACTATCACTATTACTGATGTCCTCAAAAGGGGTTAGTTTATTGAGAAACAATAACAAACTCGTCCGAACTCGCCCCGGCGAATGTTCATGACATTCGCGGCAGTTCGCGGAACCATTCGACCCGTTCGCTTCGAGTCGACGTCTGCCCTTTTTTCGAATTCGACTTCTGCCGATGTCGACGATTGAACTCCGCCCTGACGAAAGCGCTACGCAGCGGAAATTATTCAAAACCCGTGACACCGTTGCCAAGTCACGCGCACTGTTGCCGGGGACAAAGATTTAAACGCGTGAGAAAAGTTTTTGAAATAGTAAAACGTGTTTTATATACTATTCTTTCTCAAATTCAAAATCATTACCTTTCATCTCCGATAAAGTTTTCCCAAGTAATCGCTCTAGCTATGCTGCAATATCGATTTAAAGTCAAGAACCGGGCACGGGGGACACGCAAATTTGGGACAAATGAAGGCAATCTGCACATTAAAAATTGTGCTAAATTTGTATTTTAGTCCAAAGAAAGTGGAAAATAGCATGTAATAGTCAACAATAGTTTGGAAAATGAGAAAAAAATTTACTCTGCTCATGGTTCTCAGATTATGACGATTAAAACAGCTGGGGACACCAGATTAGACGCTTATTTGAAAGCACCCACCTATATTAAAAAAATTGTAAAATTTGCATGTCCAAACGCACGTCCATTTCGTGTTTTCCGAGATACGCACTTTTGCACTTTCACCATCGATATGGTGGTGCGATTTTTTAAGAATTCATGCATGCAATAGGGCCGGATTTACCTACTTGCCGCCCATGGGCCGTCTGTATTTTGCCGCCCCCATTTCATTCGTTTTGAAACATCATTAAAAACCATCAAGCAGGGGCGGACTGGCCATAGTGGCGGGGAGGCGATCGCCCCTTAACAATTTGCCGCGGAGGTCCCAAAGGGGCCCCCGCGGCGAATTTTTGTCGAGTCATCGTTTTTTTCCTGTAATGTTGTAATTTTCTTATCCTTTTCAATCACTAAAAGGCCCCGAATTCCTTGAAAATTTCTCTCTAAGAGATATGGAAGGCGAAAGCCATGTCAACAAGCTACCAGCAAAATTTCACGAAACTTTGCGCGAAAGTTAAGGTCCGTAAACCTATCTCTGTGTGGACAAGGTCCTCAATTTTTAAGAAATGAACCAAAAAATTATGAAAGAACATAAATGTGGTTTAATAATTTTAACTTCCGCCACTGCGCCGCGCTGATCGCACTGTGTTTGGCGCAATGCGTGAGGTATTCTTGCAGTCTTGTAAGCGCTATGCGTTTCACGGCAACCGCTCTGCCGTGATAGCGAAGAGAGCCGTAAGTGCAAAATTTTCGAAATCGAGTTTTCTTCAAAATTCGTCTAAACTCTTTTAGATGAAATTGCTGAAACAGCTAAAACAGCAAAATTCATCCTACTTCAATGAAAACGAGACGTATGAGAAAGCCGTAAGTGCGCAAAAAATGACATAGTTTTTTCAAGACAGATGCAAGTGCATGACAGGCAATGAAAACAGTGCTTTCCAGTAAAGTGCCGCCCTCTTCTGCCAATTTCTAACCTGTAAACGTGTTTGTTGTGCGTCCAAAACGCAACCACGAAAGCATGCAGAAGATAGCACTTACGGCTGTCTTGCCTTACAATAACCTCGCATGAAAATGAAAAATACCCTTTTTGTGTAGGTAATGGAAATAAAATCGGTCGATTTTTAATCATCCATACGATCTCTAGGAGTCCTCCGGACGATTAGTGGCAATTTGACAAAGAACGGAGGCTTTTTTCGATAACATGTTCCGGTCAGAAGCTTCTGAGACTGTTTTCTCATCAGAACTTCATTTTTGCACTTACGGCTCTCTTCGCTATCACGGCAGCGCCCCTGACCGCACTGTGTTCGGCGCAATGGGTGAAGTATTCATGCAGTCTTGTAGGCGCTAATATGTGTTACATGCCGACCGCCCCGCCGGGGCTTTTCCTTTTCATCTCAAGTCCTTATCATCATTGCTCTCTGCGCCGCGCCATTCCAGGCCAAATTGCGTGTTTGGCTTCTCTCTTAACTCAAGTAATTGGATTGCATTTTACAAAAAGGAACCACTAGCATTGCAATGATGCTAAGATTGTGCAACTTCATCCTTTGCAATAAAATTGCGGAAATTGTGAAAAACTATGGAATTTAGATGGTAATTTTTGTCTTAAATTTACAGTTCTTAGCGAGTAAAAATGGAAACTATTAAGGGATAATCGGGTTTTTCCTCCAAGACAAAAGAAGTTGCACAATCTTAGCAACATTGCAATGCTAGTGGTTCCTTTTTGCAAAATGCAATCCGATTAAAGATGCTGTCTCTTGTATCACCGAAAAACGACAAAATTAGAAATTACTATATTCTCAGGAAAGAGAGATTTCGTCCCCTTTTCTCATTGATAATTTTTGTTTTTTTGAATATGAATTTTTTTACACCCACATTTAAAAAAATTGCAAACTTTGCCGCCTCCTAAATTTGCCGCCATGGGCCGCGGCCCATGTGGCCACCCCCGTAATCCGGCCCTGGTAGGCAATCGAATTTAGAATTACTGCTATCAGTGCTCCATAAAAGTACGAAAAAAGGCACGATTCGACTGTGATTTTTTCAAAAATCTTATCTCTCGAATCGTACTGAAACATATTGGAGCGTGTTAAGTTCAGACATTCCTAGGTGAAATCGCAAAGTTAAAGGTCCCCGGTTATAAACATCCGTTTCGAAGCATTTCCATCTTCCAAGAAACCGTTCAAGTATTAAATAAGCCACTAAGGGAGAGGGTGCAGGCTTCAGGCTCCTCCCCGTTTAAAAATTGAAATATGGTCCAATAAAAATAATTTATGTCAACAATAATTTTTCAGGCTCTCGGCAGCGGTATATTTTTTTGAATAACGGGAGAGGGAGGGGGAATAAAGCTAGACTTCCAAAGGGAGAAGGTGAGAGATTGGCTTACGGGTGGCTCGCAGCGGGGAGGGGAGTCATGAATGGCATGTAGGTACGTATTACTAGCGGTGCCCAATGAAACGCCTCAAACGGCCAATTTGAGACGCGAAAAACTGCACTAACATAATGCGCGCCCCGCTCACCACGAAGTGAGTTGCGGTTGTTAGGGCTCACAAGACTCATCACTCTCTAATCAAAACTTCGTGCAAACTTTTTCAACCACTGACAACTTCCAAAATAAACATGCATATACGAGATTAATGTTTATTGTTTATAAATTAAATCCAGTTCATTAAAACTTTCTCTTTCCGCAAAACAAAAATCAACATAGATGAAATGGGCAACGTTATATGAACTTATCCGCAGGCAAGTAACCAAACGGTGAGTTTAAGAGAATATCTTTCTTCCTCTCCTCTGTGACACGGCAGTCGTGATATAAAATTAAACTGATTAATTTTCAACTAACGTAAATGACATAAGCGCCAAAATTTCAAAAATGGGATTTTGATGGATTGTTCTTGTTTGTATCAAGATGCATCTTACGGGATAACGGCTTTCAAGGTACACAAATATTAAGGTCTTTGCCTCAAAAAATTCCTTGGAATTTATGGTTTTCAAAGATCATTTATAGGAAATTATGGTGGAAAGGTTAGTGGCAGACGGTGGTTTTCTCATTTTTCTTGAAATCAAGTTTGTGCCACTTACGTCATTTGAAAATGATCGGTCAAATTAGTCTTGTAAGTGCCCAATTGGATTTTTATGGTGTTTTTTTCCATTGCATCAGTGCGCAGCGGAAAGTTTGCACTCTTTCACACGGACACTGCACTCGCGTACAAATGATGATTTAGAGTAAGTAAGATGTCAAAAAAACGAATCTTAGGTCGCAAAGCTGTAAGCCTCCGCCCATATTTTATTTACTTTTTCCTAAGGAAAACCAACCCGCGTAGTTTCCTTAGAACTTTTTTGTAAATTTTCTTTGCTTATGAAACAAAAACAAACAGAAAATTAAAAAATAAAATGGAATGTGGAATATCCTATGGAATGGGATAACTAAACATAACCTAAACAATAAAAAATTCTGATTGGATTTCCTTGAAGAAATGAAACACAATCGGAGATTTTTGAACATTACAACACTAAGGTGCCTACGCATTTTTCGCGTTTAGCTGTCGATTAAAATCCTCAGGGTTAGTGGGCTACTCGACGACCGGCGCTACTAGCCAGATGAGCGATGAGCATACGCCATAACGCCTGCAATACCATGAATAAATAACTATTACTACGCGGCGGATATTTTGTAGCCTGTCTCCCAAAATGAAGGCGTTGTGTAGGTAACGATTTGCTCGCTGTGTTTAGTGTTATTCCACCTCAATCGGCTTCATTTGGTTGTCCTTTTATACGAGACTATTTAAGCGTCCGGGAGGGGCTCTCTAGGAGAGAATATGTACGAGTTGTGAAAATATTTTGAGTAAAAACAAATTACAAAATTATGTGGGCAGTATTATGAAAAATGAATGAACATTCTTCATTTTTTACTACGGGCAATATGGAGGAACTCAATTTTTCTCTCATTGCTTCATTCATCTCTTTGAGAGTTAAGGACCTAGAGACTTAGCAGTAAGGAGTGATGCAGAGTACTTACTCTTTATGGTTTTGAAGTGAATCTATTTGAAAAAAAAATGTAGGTAAATACCTACATTGAGCATAAGTAAAACTAGTCAATGGATATCGAATAAGGTGACAAACAAATAACGATCAATAAATGTTTATTTTTAAAGAGTAATTTTTAGGATGACGCTTTTTACATTTGATCACGTACACTGTTAGTTCGCCGCAGTAAACTGGCGCCTTACTTTACATAATCCAAAAAACAAACATAGAAAAATTATATCTTTATACGATAAAAGAAAAGCTTAAAAAACGCCTAGTCTCTAACGCCTAGTCTCTAACGCCTAGTTTCTGCGTCAATTTTTTATCACATTTTACATTCATTCATACTCACTACAGCATAAATTTTTAAAACTGAGAATTCAGATGAGTTACGCCTTGTCTTCACGGGACATTTCGCGAGATTTTTCCCAAGTTCGAATCGCATGAATGAAACTCTGGGCTTTTTTCTCGATAAACAACACAACGAAATTTCTTCTTCTTTTTGAGTCGTTCCTGGGACTCCACAATGACTCTTGCTTGGCACTGTGATTAGTATTGACTAACTCAATATTTTTCCCAACTTCGTAAGTGAGATTTATCCCTGGGACTAATCCCATGAAACGCTCCGTGGAGACAAAGCCTCATTGATGATCATTGTTTTTTTACGGATATAAAGCTCTGTAACGTAGAGAACCTCGAGACCAATCGTAAAATAGACTTCCAACACTGATTGCAAGGTATATCTGGAATATTTTCTTGAGCAACTTTAGGACATCACTAGTCAAAATCATTCTGAAACACGTTAACGTACAGTGGAATAAGTATAAGTGCTAAATATGTTGCCTACCTCGATTAATAAATTATTTACGTCCAGAATTCTTACTCGTGGTCACTGCATGTGCTCGAAAATAATAATAAGCCTATTTATTGTTTCTGTATGATCATAAGTAAATGAAACTAGAACAGTAAAAAAGATGTCTCTGCAATCTGAAAACTTAATTGCGTAACTTGAAATCCTCAGATTACAACAGTTCCCTTTCCCTCCTATGAAATACGAGGGTTGTCTCAAAAGTAAGTATAATAGTGCCATATCTTTTGAACGGCTCTATAAAAATAAAATCGGCGAAAAGGGTTTTGTGCGTCGTACTTTCAGCTTTCTAAAAAGCTAAAGAGATTTAAATTTGGTTCTCTAGAACGCTAAAAAAGTTGATTTCTGTGAAGACACCTCCACTCCGAGCAGGTCCAAAAATTTCACGCACCGAGATCAGTGCGTTTGAGGTCCACTGTTTTTTGGGATGCAAAAGGAGTGCTGTTAGTCAAGTATTTACCACGTGGGCAGACAATAAATGCAGAACGGTACAGTGAGAATCTCTTGAAACTCAAAACCCGTATCAAGAGGAAGCGTCCAGGACTTTTGACCGATCAAGTTCTGTTAATGCAAGATAATGCCCGACCTCATTCTGGTGCAACCCCTCAAACTTTGCTTCAAAAATTCAAATGGGACATTTTTCCGCATCCTCCTTACTCACCAGATTTTACACCAAGTGATTTTTACCTTTTTCCAAAATTGAAGTCTTATCTTGGCGGCCAGAAGTTCGAAACCGATGAAAAGGTCCAAAGTGCGGTCAACGGTTGGTTGCAGAATCAAAATGAGGAGTTCTATGCAGCAGGGATTCAAAAACTGGCTCAACGATACCAGAAATGCATAGATAAAGGAGGGTCTTATGTTGAAAAGTGAGGTAATATTTTTTTAAAAGGACCTCTTTTTTTACCTTCTTTTTCATCTCTCTTTCAATGCTACTAATCCTTTGTTTCTTAATCGGGAACTACGTGATTGACACTTACTTTCTTTTTCGCCCGATGAATTTTTTTCTCGGTTGTTACTCTTACACAAGAGTGACAACCGAGAAAAAATTCATCGGGCGAAAAAGAAAGTAAGTGTCAATCTCTTTCAATGATTTTTTGAGTTGAAATCCCGGAGAATTGATGGCATGAAATTTTTGGACCCACTCGGAGTGGAGGTGCCTTCACAAAAATCAACTTTTTTGGCGTTCTAGTGAACCAAATTTAAATCTCTTTAGCTTTTTAGAAAGCTGAAAGTACGATGCACAAATTTTTTTTTACCGATTTTATTTTTATAGAGTTGTTCAAAAGATATGGCACTATTATACTTACTTTTGAGACGACCCTCGTACCATGTACTGAAATGTGGAAATCATAAAAATTGTAGATGTATAATGATAGGCTCAAGAATGCAAGGGGCCACTCAAGTATTACATAAGGCACTCAGAGTCTGAGCTTGCAGGGGTCATACAAGGGGAGGAAGGTCAAACCCGTCTTACGTAAGCTCTCCACCTTAATGAAAACAATTCCTCGTATTTTCCCCTAAAAATGATTTTTGTAAGCTGTCTCTCAGACTTGCTCCATTATTTTCAGAAAAATTGGGAGGGGGGGGGGGAGCCAAGTCAGTCTTGCGTAATATCAGAAGGGAGGTTGGCTTAACTTGGCTTACGGATGCCTCACCAGGGGAAGTCTGGAGGTAAAAAAAAAATCAAATTTTCATCCGTCATGTTGTGATATTTTACGGCTTAATACTTGTTCAAAGAGTTGATTTTGATTTCAAACCAAGTGCGTTAATATACACACGTCGATTAAAATGAGTTTAAAACTTTTCATATGCGTTATTTTTTAGTCAAAGCTTTTTTAGGAGTGCTTCCAAGTTTGTAAGTACTTAGTGCTCTTTTTCAATTTGTAACCCCTATCCCTGGACTTCACTTAAAAAAGTGAAGTTGATTTAACATTCTGGATGTAAGAAAAAGTGTGCGAGAACTTACAAAATGCTGAATTAACTGCCACGGCAGTTATTTTAGCATTGTCAAAATGTAAAACTAACTGCCGTAGCGGGTAGTTCAGCATTCTGTGAGTTCTCGCACACTTTTTCTTACATCCAGAATGTTAAATCAACTTCACCTTACTTTCTGTGCTGGTTTTCTGTTGAACTGAGAGAAAAAAATATATTTTCCCCCTAAAAATATTGCCGTTTGAAAACTCGGATTATTACGTAAAGCCATATTTTAGATTTCCCTGCTCTTTGGAACACACGCCATAACACAGCCTCAGAATTAATTTTCTCCCCACTTAAGTGCACCGCTTGAGAGCTTTTTCATGAGTCATAAATCTAGGGTGTGTAGTCAGTTGTTTTTTTACTTACGCTTGAACCTTAAAAGGGTGACGCCCAACAATCAGGGTATCTTTTAGAATGTAGTTACTAATTCCTTTGCTCACATTCCGCAAGTATCTCAGCCATTCAATGTTACAAATGTCAAAATGAAACAAGTCTCGATCCAGGTCTGACATAGCAGACCACAAGGACACCAAATTGTTGTCATTGAAATTCCAATTTTTTTCAACGAATGGTCTTATTTGGCCTAACATAAAGGCTATCCTCGTATAGACGTTCAGTATCCTAAAAATCAAACAAAATCAAGTTAAGGCAAAATAGAAAATGTACGATTAAAAACTGAGGATTAAAAGTTTTAAAATCTGAAATTTTCACAGTAGGGCATCTGATAATCCTTTGAATTTACCATATAATCAGTTTTTATCAGTGTTCCAAAAAAAAATTGATAAACCAAAATGTACCGTCAAAACTTGAATTTCGTTCAAAATTTACACGAAGACGCTGCAGAACTTTCAAAACTTCAGATATAGTGGGTAAGACGGATGTTTTAATGGGGATTTGCCCCTCCCTTTCTCTTTTGAGCATAATTGGACGCATTTCTGCCAAACGGAACTATGTGCATTAAGACATGAGCCCTGAGACCCATACGAATAGATGCATAACAGAGCTCACGCAATAATGCACATAGTTCCGTTTGGCAGAAATACGTCCAATTTAACCTAGCGATGCAGCTCCGGAGTATTGAAATTTTGCTAGAACTGCGAGCAACTCTTATTGTCTCGATAATTAACTGAAATCAGACCCAAAAAAATGAGATTCACAGGGTGTTTTCTATATCTCATTGCCAGAAATTTTTCATGGGAAAGAGGGTCTGCTGTCCAAATTTTCTCATGGGAGTGCGGATTCATAGGTAAAAAATCTCTGAAAATTATGAAAGATAATGGACCACTAGACAAGGTACGAATTAAAGCATTCTGGTACATGTTTCCTGACCAGAATTTCACGTAGAGCACGATTCGCGCAACGAAGACTAATGAAACGAACTCCAAACAAAAATATTAACGTTTTTATTTCACATTGGTTACGAAGAAGTTGGACTGCCTGCTGACAAGAAACTCAAAGCTCTACGTGAGTCAAACCGCGCACTACAGCGGTTTCAACAAGCTTCTCAATCGAGTAATGTTCATTTCCCACCATGTGTTGTTCAAACTATAAAAAATTTGCTACAGCTGAGCCAAAGCGTCAATATTGAGGTTGCCAGATTTTTATATCGCAGAGACTGTCAAGATAACGTTTAGCGCACGATGTGAATCACGCAGAGTATCGAGTTTTCATGAGCGGGTGATTTGAATTGGCGCATCAAGAATTATTGAATATCTTTGGAAGGAGTTGATTTCGGTAATTTTCGTTGTGCGCATCGTGTTTTACGTAAAATTTTAGTTTAGAAACATGAATCAGAATGCTGAAATTTGTACCTTGTCTAGTGGTCCATTGTGAAAATGACTTCCGAAAAAGTGTCAAATTACCTGGGAGGTTTTCCTTGTAATTTTTCTGCGAGTATTAACAAAGGAAGAGGCAGCACATGATAGAGGAAGAACTTAATTTCGTAGAGAAAGCGATTGGGTTCGAATGTAACATCCACAGCCCATATTTGCTGCCCCGATGAGACTTTCTCCTCTCTGTGTATTTTAAGGGCCAAAACAGAGAGTGCTCCCCAAGTTATTGGTTTGCGATCACTCACGTGATTATATATTGGAGCGATTTGACGGTTGTTCTTTCTGTAAATGAGAATGCAGCTCAATAAATTACAGCATTTTTATCCGGGCCAAAATACCAACATTTCACAGAACTTTAACTAAAAAATGAACTTTAATAAGCGATTACATAGTAAAAAATCCGCAGAAAATAAACTTCAGGAAATTTTTAGGATATGAAAGAAATGCGGGTTTTAGTCCCCTCTTGGCTGTGCGCCAGGAACTTATCAGTAATTTTTTCATTTTTATTTTTAAATGTTTTTTGATATAAGAAAGAATGATAAGGCAAGGGAGGATGAGGAGCCTATTATCTCTAGAGAGCGCGCTGCTAGGGTAACGGATAGAAAAAAGCCAATCAATTGATAGGGATATTGGTGCTCATGGACCATACAGATAGGGTAAAAGGGTCTGGGTCGGTTGCGCTGATCACAAAGTCGCAATTTGAACGTGTTTCTGCCAAACGGAACTATGTACATTATGAAGTGAGCCCTGTTATGCATATATTCTTATGGGTCGCAGGGCTCGTGTAATGCTCAAAGTTCCCTTTGATAGAAATACATCAATTTGATGCTTTAAGCTGATGGATTACAAAAATATAATTAAAATCTGCCCAAATGCCTAGTTCCTGCTTTCAATAGTGACGGAGACATCGCCCTTCAAAAAACACGGTGTATAACGTCACCCGCACCACGGTAGCATGCATATACCATGGTTTCCACCATCCTGTATGTATGTATGTATGTATGTGTGTATGTAAGGGTGCTTTCATCCGTGTCTCAAGTCATGCAACTAGTGCAAGTGGGTGTCTCTTTGATGGATGAAACCGAGGTTTAAAAACCATGGTATGCATAACCGCGGTGGATGACTCGGACTACATTTTGCAATTAGGAACGATAAATTCTAGCCCAGTTTATAAACGACGTATGTGCCATTAGTTTCCCTATGCACATAAGTGTTTTTCAGAGGAGCCAAAATTTATAGTTCCAAATTGCAAAATGCAGTTCACGTCGTACGCAGCGTTTTTCGATACACGAGATCTCCATTAATATTGGACGTAAAAACTTGGCGTTTAAACGGATCTAATTATTTTCGTCTTATCTACACTGACAAAAAATTCTCGGCGTTTTTACCAAGGTCCGTTGGTACCTTTACCATCTCACTTTTTTTTACCAATTATTGGTAATTTTACCAATACAGACTGGTAAGCTTACCTAAAAACCGGTATTTTTACAGTTTTTTTCAGGTAAGAATACCACTTTTATTGGTAATCAATTCCCGGTAACTTTGCCATTTTATCTCGGTAATTCTACCACAGTCGATAAAAAATATTGGCGTTTTTACCAAGGTCCAGTAAAATTACCGAGAAAGTTCAATAATTTTACCGAGATTTCTCGGTAAAATTACCAATTCCATAAATAGTAATATTACCAAGAAAAAATTGGGATCAAATAGAACCCTGAATTCGTGGTAATTTTACCCTTTTCTTAGTAAATACACCGAGATTTTTTTTTCAGTGTATAAGCTTCAACCATCAAAATACGATTCAGTGACTAGCACAACTGACCCACATTGCTGAGAGGCAATAATTTTTGAGACGGTTTACGTGGCTAGTACCTGCTATTAAATATGTGCCATGGGAGGGTGACAAGAGCGCTGACGCATTTGTCGACCGGGATGGCGTCCACTCGCTTCTCAGCACCGAAATGCAGAACCCTTAAAACTCCTAGACCGACGCCAGTCATGATGGCTCCTACATTTTGCAAAGTGCAGCTCCATCCAGTGACTGGCTCCTCATATGTGTTGATCACTGAAAGACAATCCGGAATGGAGATGTTGCATGTGTGAGGGATTTGCGATTTGACTGTTGTTTCTCATGTAAAAGTTCGCGAGAAACACAATGGTGCCACTGGTTTTCTCTGAAATCCATTCCCAAGCGCAAAAAAAGCTCTCAAAGTGAGGCCAAAATGGAGGGGATATCCCACCCTACCCTGAGGGTCTACATCTACATCAAGACAAACTCTCCGTGCACAGATAGGGAGAAAATACATTGACAGGGCTGCCACTTTAATTGGGGACTCCAAAACTGAAAACACGGCAACCCTGCTAATGTATTTGCTCCCTATCTTTGCACAGAGAGTTTGTTTTGATGTAGAGGTGGACTCTCAGGGTAGGGCGGGATATCCCCTCCATTTTGGCCTCACTTTGAGAGCTTTTTTTGCGCTTGGGAGTTGATTTCAGAGAAAACCAGTGGCACCATCGTGTTTCTCGCGAACTTTTACATAAGAAACAGCAGTCAAATCGCAAATCCCCCACACATGCAACATCTCCATTGAGGAATTATTTATAACAAGAAAAGATGAAGAGGGAAATGACTGAACAAAGAAATAACATCATTAGTATACCTAGAATAATAAATGTAATTTTTCAGGCCGTTAGAATGCAGGAGCGTATTCTATGGGTCAAAATGAGACTTATTTTTCAAATAATTTCCAAAAGTGCCTCCAGTCGGATCTACGACCCCCCCAAATTTTCAGGAAACTCGTCGTGTAATTTGAATGTTAGCAACGTTAATGGATGAAAACGCATGAGAATACTTTTGAAATTATTCTTTTACATCATAATGTTTAATGCTAAAATCTTATATGACCTGAAAAAAACGAACTCTAGTTAATGGGGGATTTCAAGGGATCTAAGGAGGGAAAAACTGAGTTTTTCGCCCTAACAGATCCGAGACGCCCTAAAATCCTTCTTAAATGTGAAATTTGGATCTGTTTGAGACCATTATTGTATTTAACGCTAAAAATATGGAGGAAACCCTATTTCCATTAGTTTTGGTTCAAAACCGTACCTAATTGATTTCTGGATCAAAGATGATGGCTCCTCAAAAATTTGGAGGACCGTGGCTTCGATAGGTAGCGGTAACAATTTTGGAATGAAACTTTACAAGGAGAAAGAAATCGCTCGCACCAATAGTAAAATATTCCTGAATGTTATTTTTAGTTAAAGGATGCTAAAATATTAGGCACCATTGTCAATGAATGAGCTAGTCAATGGGAGAAGTTCGATATAAATTGGAAAGTTTAAAAGCTACAATTTATAATTTGATGGGAGAGCACCATTTGCAGTTTTAGTAAACAATTTAATGTCTGACCTTTCCAAATGGTTCGTTCCTATGTGCATCGAACAGTGAAACGAGTCAAATAAAGAAGTTGGACATGAAATTTCGGACTAAAACTGCGAATTTTGATGTTTATTTCGTCACATTTTGAATTTTAAGGGGTGCAAACAGAAGAAAATCTCACGAGGAATAACCAATGAAACTACCTTTACAGCATCAAAGTTTTGTATAAACGGAGTTATAAGCTTTTAAAGTTTCCAAACAGGCAAAGTGTGGTTGCTCGTGTACTAATGCTTACATACATTCATCATTAATTTTTCATTTAATATACTGGTTACGAGATTTTGTCCTAAATACTGTTTTATCCATCTTCATCTGTGGCCCATGTACCAACAACAACTTAGTATATGAAACTTACCCATTGATGGCCGATAAATAGCAATGGGCAACGAGTTTACTTTGTGACGCAGAAATTCCTCTGCCATAGTTTTGGTTAGGATGTATGTGTTGGCCGTTTTACCTAGAATTCTGGAAAAAGTGAAGGATAAAATGAAAAAAAAATTAAGAAAACAAAAAGTTCTGTTTTTTTATTGGAGTGGGATGTCAATATTATTTTGTGGGAAACGTGAGACTATGAGAGTAGGAGAGTGTTAGAAGGGAGAAAAAGAATAACCATCCAATGTTTATAATATATCACTTGCATATTGGAAGGATCATTTCCCACTTCTTCTTCGCAACAGCCTTCGTTTGCTTGGCAGTCCAAATTTAAACTGGAGCCAGGCCGCAGGTGCATGAGCGCCCCTCTTTTTCTCAACTTTTCATGAAGGAGAATCATTGCAATTCTCTGAAAGAATCCATTTGCGAGGTATATCGGTTGAATGACATTACTTGAAATCAGTGAAATTATTTATTTATTTGTATTATTTTTGTTTGAAGTATCCTTAAATCCCCCTTAACCGCATTGAAATCGTTACGTCGATTGATTACCCCAAGGGAAAGTACCTTGAAAGAGTGACAAGTGACTTACAAGAGTTACTTACAATCACAGCCTCTAGTCACCATTCCTGCAAGAGGGGATCTTTTGCCTAGTTATTCAAACCATGAATATGTATTATGGCTTGTGATGTTACGGGTTTCGTGTAGAATTTTTTTTTTTTTTTTTTTCAAGAGACGATTGATCATCACTGTTGTTCAAGAATCTGTGCTTTACTGCTGCGAATACTGAACGTATTTCATTTCAACGCCTAAACGCAACTATTCGAGCTCCACGGATGTCCGTGTTGCATACGTGTGGAGTTGAAGGCGTTTTGAGTCTCCAGGCACTTCTCGAATTCACTTGCGGCTCGACGGCGCAGCGAGCAGTGTCAAGCGCCTTCAGTTCTTCTTCCATGATACAACTACATAATATCTTAGGCACGTATAGTTACTCCACAAATCAATCGCACATCACGATATCTTATGTTATACCGATTGCTTTAGAGTCATCTAACTGGAACACCAGTAGATCGAGTTTATGAAAAACGAAGCAGTGACGAAGTTACCAGAAGAAGTCGGCCTAAAGTTTCTCGCATGAAATCCTATATGAAGCGTAGACTAAAGTCAAGCTCATGTTACTACCTACCTAATTTTGTCTTTCTTTTTTTTCTCTCTTTTTTCCCCCATTGCGTTATTTGCCCCTTTGAAGAGCCTTTACGGGCATGTTCGCCAAGCGTTTTTGCTCGTTCGCCTTTTGACAAAGACTATTTAATATCACGTAATTGAAAAATACGTTTACATTGCAATCATACGTCTGGCATAGATAAGCTTTCCCTTGTCTCCTTTACTCCAATTTCAAGGGCAATCATTTGGGCAAAGGACTCCTTGCTCTCATCTCTCAAAAAGCGCAAATCCTCACCTGCGCCTAGGGCTTACGCTTTTGGACATTTGCGCTTTTGGAACTTTACCTTATGCCCTCCCTGGTCCCTCAAGAGCTTTGAGCTGAGAGCGACACAACTTTGTTCAGTCCTTAGTGCTACTTTTGAGCTCGTTTGCAATTCGTCGCCCCTATGGCGCACAATGGATCGAGTCAATGAGAGAGATCAGACAGAAGGAAACTTTAAAAGTTCATGACTCTGTTTATACAAAACTTTGAGGTTTTAAAAGTGGTTCCACTGGTTCCCTCGTGAAATTTTCTTTCAGAAGCACTCCTTAAAATTTAAAATGTGACCAATTAAACATTAAAATTTGCAGTTTTAGTCAAAAATTTCTTGTCTGACCTCTCTGATTGACTCGATCCACTGGATGGCGTAAGGGCGTATATCAATTTTTACGTGAACCCTGTATCAGATGTAAATCCATGCTTTTTGGGGCTCATGCGGGAATCGAGATACGCCCTTAGGCCTTGTCTCCACGGGACGTTTCCATGAGATTTGTTCCAAGTTCGAATCGCAGGAATGAAACTTCAGGGATTTTTCCCAGTTACCGACCGTCTCCACGGGACGAGGCTCATACGGTCCTGCGACTAGTTTGCGCGGGAAGATAAATTAGATAAAGTCGAGTATTTAACCGGGATTAAAATAATGATTCCACTCAATTGACAATTAGACACATTATTTTAACCAAACAAACGTGAACAATGGAGTATCCAACAAAATATCGCACAATTCGTTTACACTTCTTCTTCCTCTCCCGGTGGGTCCTAGGAGTAAAAGGACCATACTTGCTACTGGGAAAAATATTGAGTTAATCAATATTTTTCCCAGTAGCAACTTCGTAAGTGGGATTTTTCCCTGGGACAAATTTTGTGAAAAGGCCCGTGGAGACAAGGCCCTACGCCACACAGTGGATCGAGTCAATCAGAGAGGTCGGACATGAAATTGACTAAAACTGCAAATTTTGATATTTACTTAGCCGCATTTTTTTGAGGGGTGCTTTTAGAAGAAAATTTCATGAGAAAACTTATGGAACCTCTTTTAAAACCTCAAAGTTTTGTATAAACAGAGTCGTGAACTTTTAAAGTTTCCAAGTTTTGTCCGATCTCTCCCGTTGACTCGATCCACTGTGTGGCGTAAGGGTGTATCTCAATTTCCACGTGAGCCATGTATCAAATGGACCGCAGTTTGCAATTTGGACCTATAAATTCCGGCCCGGTTTAAAAACAACGTATGTGCCATTAGTTTCCCTATGCACATAAGTGTTTTTTCAGATGAGCCAGAATTTATAGGTCCAAATTGCATAATGCAGTCCAAATGTAAATCCATGCTTTTTGGGGCTCATGCGACGAATTCACATACTTACAGGTTGTTGAGACAAGCCAAGGAGTAGTCGTCGGTGGAGTCGAGAAGCGCTTTCATTTCGGTCTCCGTGTAGGCGCTTGGATAGAATTCTTCCAGTATAACTCGCGAGCTCCGATGCACAGGAATAAAGGCGGTTGAGACGTGAACAAATGCCTGCAAAAAATCACGAGACATTTTCGCAGGAGTTACTAAGACCGTTGCTATTTTAATGTAAGGTGCTTTTCATTGCCTTATGAAAGGACCTAAAGCAGGGGTATGTTGAGCGACAATGGGTCACTACACTGAAAAAAAATCTCGAAGTATTTACTGAGAAAAGGGTAAAATTACCAAGAATTCAGGGTTCTATTTGATCCCAGTTTTTTCTTGGTAAAATTACCATTTATGGAATTGGTAATTTTACCGAGAAATCTCGGTAAAATTATTGAACTTTCTCGGTAATTTTACTGGATCTTGGTAAAAACGCCAATATTTTTAATCGACTGTTGTAGAATTACCGAGATAAAATGGCAAAGGTACCGGGAATTGATTACCAATAAAAGTGGTATTCTTACGTGAAAAAAAAACGGTAAAAATACCGGTTCTTAGTTAAGCTTACCAGTCTGTCTTGGTAAAATTACCAATAATTGGTGAAAAAAGTGAGATGATAACGGTACCAAAGGACCTTGGTAAAAACGCCGAGAATTTTTTTTCAGTGTAGACAAGGTCTGAAGTATAGGGAAATGTCGCAAGTTTTCTATTCAAAATCTTACTTAGAAAATAATGTACACGACGGAAAGTTTTGAAATCTGCCCCTGATTGAGATATCAACAAGTCTTTTAAAAAATAGATCCAATGAAAGTTCGATTTTATGTTGTATTTTTGCCATTTAACTAATGTTTATAGAAAACACTTATATTTTGTTTAGGAGTTGATTTTCAGACTTTCCATTGTGAAAATCGAATTTGAAGAGAATACTCGTGGCATCGTTCTTTAATTCATACCTTGTTTAGAGGCCCATTTCGTAATTTTTGGAGAGGCTACTTCGATCAGCTTTTTATTTAGAGTAGCCGAAATTTAATCTGAAGACTACTCACTTTTTCAAAAATTTCCCCGGAATGTTCCGTGGGCCCTCTTTTGGAGCTGAGGAAATCTCTCCGAATCCCCCTTTGGAACTGGTGGAGTTTTATAGACCTAGGTGGGATGCCTTTCTGTGCCCCCAACCCTTGATTTCTTTCTTCTACACGCTATATCCATTTGCAGTGACAACAACATATGTGTGGTAGTCTTTCAAAGATATCACAAAATATATCAGATAGACTTGTATGACCTTCAATATTCGGGAATCTCAATGTCATAAAACAGCAGTGACGTATCTACATAATGATATGGGACAAAGCGTGGACTCGTTAAAACATTACACTACCTATAAAGATACTAGGGGCAAAAATCATCATGTTAGTGAGCTTAAAGTGATGAATATATTGCTTAAAATTTCTGGTGAAGCTACATATTTTTGCCGTATGAAGTTGTTTGAAAAACACTATTTAAAAATACCTTCAAATGTGGCATTGATTCTGCTAAGGCAACTAACGCTTTCAAGCTACCAACGTTGACTGCATAAGCCTTTCTTAAGGATTCATCAAATCTGACTGTTGCCGCTACATTGATGATGACATCCACTTCTCTCTTCAGTATGCCCGCATCCACTTCACTAAGGCCAAGGTGTTCATTTTCTAAATCACCATGCACGATTCTGATTTTTTGAAAAATTTTGACATCTTGCTTCACAACTCGTGAGAATAACTAAGAAACAAAGTAAACCGCAGTTGATTCAGTTTCTCCACACAAAAACTGCAAAAACTAAACCCTATTGAAATTACTGTACTTTGACAATGGATTGTCATTAGAATGGCAGGAGGGTTGTTCCAACTGACATTGGAACTGAGCCGAGAAATTTTAGAAATTTTACGAAAAATCTTGAGAAAAAAAAACTTGTTTTTTACTTCGATTCATTCCGAAAATCATGAGCAATGGGAGTATCAAGAAGTAAAATTTAAACTATATAATTTTAATTATACCCTGCTGTACTAAGGAACTACAATTTTTGTATACAGTCTTGGAGGGGATGTTTTGAACGACAGCTTATTTGCTGTTCTGTCTCTTTTTTCTGGGATAAAAGTGCAATAAAACCAGGACTCTATAACGGTCTATTTCGTTAAGAAATTTCATTTCGTAAGATATTTGTGTTTCTATACGCCTAACTATTAGGTGATTTCTAATATTCATCACATGTCTGATACTTACCGGATTACTGAGCATTGCTCGCATCCTATCCTCTGCCGATTTCCCCTTTTTTGATCTCATTATGAGGAATAATTTATTAATTCCAGGGCATGACCTATAAAATAACAAGAAAATAAGGTTGATACAACACCTAAAAAGACTCGTTTACTTTCGTAAAACGTATCAAAAATTTGTGTTAACGTTGCAGGATACTCCGAATGACAATACATCATCAGATCATACTCGGGAGCTGTTCCTTAGTTCATGAAAAACATTAGATGTTGAAATAATTAAGTTGCTTCTATTTTGATCTTAATTTAAAAAGCGACGACTGTTGATGGTTGGAAACAACACAAAACTTTTCAAATCTCATAAAGCCGCAAAGTGGTTTTAAACGTTTGAGTATTATTAAACTTCTCAAAAATCTTATCTAAATCGGTAAATTTTTAGATTCTTTATGTCGCACGCAATCAGCTACTGCATGCATTTTGCAAGCTCTTTTTGATGAATAGAAATACATGTTTATAAACAAAGGAGGAAGATAGGGTGCTATTGAAAAAATAACATAATTCCCTCCGTAAATACGTGCATTGTAACACCTGGTAAACTTGCATATGCGACTGCGAGTAATGAAATCAGTTCAGCTTGGGTAGGATAGGCAACTAAACTAACTGCATGGTAAAGCGTGGAGTATCGCGGGAAATGAAGGCGCTCCCAGTTGTGATCGTGCTTTTTGAGGGCTATCGTCAATAAAAACTTAATCATTACAATACAAGTCCTTGCAATTTTCTGAGACAACATTTAAACGGCTCGCAGCTTGCTGGTGATTACTAATTGACTGCGACATAAAGATACCTTCTTACGTACTAATGATTTCATTTAATAATCACTTATTGGTTAATTATGCAGAGTAGAACTAAAAGTAAACGTTGTGCATTTACATAATTTTCATTCGTAGGTACATTGAATTATAAGACCTTAAAACTTTTTTCTCGTCAACTTTTAAGTAATATTGAAACAACCGAGAGCTCATTTTTAACAAACCTTAAAAGTTTTTCAACAAGCACCATGCCTATGAAACCGGTTCCTCCAGTGATAAGGATGTTAGCATTCTCATAAAACTGTTGGACCGGGGACAGCGGTGCCTCGTCGGAGGATAAGCTCTCCTTGTCTTCACCATCGTTCCCAAAGACTCGTTCAAATGCATTCGGATATAAATAGACCATTGCTGCTTTCCAGTGATGAATAGTAGCTTGTGCATTAAACCTCTGGTACCAAATTCAGAAGAGGTTACTTTACAGTTATATGGAAAAAAATTCTCATTCCGTATACTTGAGAATGAATTAAAAGCACTCGCCCTGGTAGCGACGATTGTTTTAAACAACTTGCAAATTTTAAAAAGAAAACTATTAAAAACTGCTAAAATGTTGGGTTCAGAAAATTTGTTAAGGCATTTTTAAAGTAAAATTTAAATAGAAAACTTTTAAAATAGCGTTAAAAAACTCTCTGAATACCAATAATGTAGACTGGCAACACTAAAAGTGTTTGAAAGAAATTTTTTGAAAGACTCTTAAAAAAGGAGTAATTTTTTAAATATTTTTTCAAATGTGAATTTCATGAAGAGTTCAATTTTACTCAAAGAATAACCAAAAAGTGGTTCCTTAAAATTTGTTTAGGAGCTTTTGGAAGTTGCTTTTGAAAATTCATCGCTACCAGGGCAAAGAGATTAACCGGTAGACTCCATGTCACCTTCAATGTTTAGACTTTTCAAACAAAAGCATCGCGAGTTATTTTTATTGTTCCATTGCAAAGCTTCAAAGGATTGGACAATTGACCTCCAGAAATTTTTCAGGGATCCTTTTAAGTTGATTCATTGAGGGATCCTCTAAAGAAGGAGCCTTTGCTATTTATAAAACTTCCGGTTACTTACTATTTTGAATTACTTTGATCTCGTAACATAAGGACAAATGTAACCAGAACAACTGTTTCAAATTATTTTTCAACTATTTTAATTTGGAACACAGACCACGTGAACGAGGAGAACGAGAATTAACGTAATAATCAGTATATGTTTATTATTTTTTAAAGGTATGAAAAACCATGAAAAATCAAAAACAAATCATTCAATCAGAGAAATAATGGTTTTTCCTTTTTATGAACCACTAATCGTAGTTTTAACTTCTCTACTGATTTCTTTAACTGCACAGCTTGTATCACATATATTTAAATTGCGCGAAATGAGTAGGTACAAAATTTATCAACATGTATTCTCCGATAACTTTCTGATTTCTATTGATATAGAACTATTTCGTTGGGGGAAAATATCAATATTGTCGTTTGATGCCGTCACGTGTACGTAGAACCGTAGTTCCTCTGAAAATAAAACCAGTCTTTAAGGGTGCATATCGACGGTGAAACTACCAAACCACGTATCTCGTTTGCGGTGTTTAAAAATCTACGCTCGCATTTTATTTTTTTGAAGTAGACCAAATCAATATCATTCCTTGAAATTCAGAAATTTTCAAGACTGGACGTTCAGTAGTTTTTCATTTAAAAAATAAAGTATGACAGGAAGTCTGCGACGTCGCAAACCGAGATACGTGGTTTGGTAGTTTCACCGTCGATATTTAAGTCCTCGACTATGATTTAAATCATCTTTATTTTAAATTTTTCTTTTGTAGAAAACACTTGGCTTGGTAAAATGAAAAATAAAAACGTACCTTCTACTGTCATAAGGAGTGTTTGTCCTCTTTGTCCCCAGATACTTCACAATACATTTGAAAACATTTCACAAATTTTAAACGAAATTTGAATGGTGCATTACCCTCTTTCTGTCTTATCTTTGACGTAAGCAGGTATTACGGAGGGAGTGATATATAAAAAAAAAAAAAAAAATATTCCAACTCTTGATTTATTTACGTACTCTTTGCAAATGAGAAATGCGCATTTGTACAATATCTTGCGGATAATTTCTTTGCATTCTTATGACGAAGTATATGTAAACACTAAAATTATGTATTAATACGCAGTTTCAAAAGCTTCGCAAATTCCAAAACGGGGTATGGTAGGGTACGAGGGGAATATTCGGGACTGAAAAACTGGTTAAAAGTCAGAGGAAAAGGAACTGATGTTTAAACACGTGTATTTGATCAAACTTCGACGCCGTATTGACCTGCTCTTGTTGTACAAGAATCGTTAACAGGTTGTCAAGTGTCTCATGTTTTGTTTTTCGTTTATTCAAAATAAAGTAATTTTGTTTTGTTTTCCTTATGACAACCGGGCATGACGTTCCGAACTTAAACTTTTATTCCCAGTCATTGCGATGAACAATGTTAGTAGGGCCATGGATAACCCGGTTCCCAATTTCCGGCCTTATTCAAGCTGGATTTTACTTTTGATTTCAAGGTTAAGACGCCCAATTTAACTGCCTGACCTTCATTTTCACTCCTACTTTTTCCTTAACACGTGGGCTTGATTGTACCTTTACTCCAGATGCGCAAAATGTAATTTGGACGTAGCGTAAGTCTGCAAATGGGGGGGGGGGGTTACACACGGTCTCCCAAATGTCTCATCTCTCACAACTTTTGAAAGTTGTTCATCTTAACCTAATAAACATTGATTTTCAAGAACAAGACTCCATGTGCAAAAGAAAGAATCCACATACAGGGTGATCCAGGGTTAAACGACCAGACTACAGGAGCATCTATGGGTCAAAATAAGGTTTTTTTGTTGTACAAAGTTTTTTCCAAAAGTGCCTCCAATCGGAGCTACGGCCACTCCCCCCCTCCCAAAAAAAAAATTCGGAAAGTATATCGTGCTTCCTGAATTTTGGCAACGATTGTGAACCAAATCTTATGAAAATTTGTACCCCCCTGTGCTTTAATGCCTTGAACTCGTAAATGATCTAAAAAAACAATCGAAATCTCAATTTAAAGAGAGGGTTTGGGGGGTGTTTCGACTCCTGCAGTCTGGCCATTTAACCTTGGATTACTCTGTATACATTCTCCTCATGTAGATATTCAAGTTTCTGAGCCCGAATGTTGTCGGCTTTTTCACACGGAGTGCAACAGCCATCGATGAGTTCAAACCGCACCACCGCCTTGGTAAACATTGGCAGTAGAATTTGTGTTCCAAAATACCATAGACCTACAGCCGGCTGTAAGATTTCCGATAGCTTCCATAGCCGGCTACATAATTTCTTATAGTCTTTTATAGCCGATGGTGATTAAGCAACAGCCAGGCGATAAAGTGTATGCTAAACGTTACTAATTACGGATGCTAGACTTAGTGAGTTTTTGGACTACTGCTCTCTTTTTGGGCCGTAGTATCTTGATTTATTTTGCGAGGAAAGCTCCGCACCTTTGATGGATGCCTGTCATTCCTAATATATTAGAGCGCCTTCAGTTTCGTATGATACTGTGCAATACCTCTGGTGTGAAATAGTTGCCTCAAGCGCCTTGGCACGCTGCGGCGCGGCAGGCGGACAGCCAGCGCGAAACGCGCATTGGCGCCTACAAACCTAACAGGGATACTTCACGCGTTGCGCAATGCGTGAAGTATCCCTGTTAGGTTTGTAGGCGCCAGTGCGTCGCCGCTCCGCTTTGTGGTAGGCTCTAATATTTAATCTGGCGGAGTCAGCGTTATTCAACTCATGATTTTGAAATGTTTGCACATCCTGTATGGATTATTCTCATTTTAATTGATGAAAAAAAATATGTATTAAAGGAAAATATAATGTGTGTTTTGTAAATATTGAGGTGGTTCCGTATCAAACTTAATGATTTTCAAAGCACACGAATTTCTGCACAAATTCTTATATCCTTTTATAATCGCTGGCGAAAAAGCAACAGCCAGGTGATAAAGTGTAAAGCCCGGCGATAGGAACTATAGCCCGGCTGCATAATTTTTTATCGCTTCGTATAGCCCGGCCGTATGATTTTCTCCGCATTCTACAGTCAGCTATATGATTTTCTGTAGCCTTCTTCAGCCGGCTACAAGAATTCCTATGGTATTTTGAAACACAGCTCCTATCGCCAATTTTTACCAGGGCGGCTAATCAGAAGCGCTCAGCCGGACTTAAGTGCAGTCGAGACCCGTTTTAAGTATATTTAAGTACGGTGGGAGGACCGACAAAATTCGGGCTCTGGGAATCTTCAGTCACGCGGTTGAGGACAGAAATATATTGGTAAAAATGGCAATCACGGATAGAAGAGAATCGTTGTCCTTACGATACTCTTGGTAGATTTCAGGTCCTGTCTACTTTGCTAGTCGTGGTTAAGTTCGGCTCCGGTACGGGACTGAGGCGACTGGATCTCATTTGACAGAAAAGAATCTATACGATTTTTGACAAAATTGAGTCAGTGGTTGATTTGATTGAGCCTAGTCGTTCTCTCTTAAGTATATGCAGTATTTTCTTCACAGGCGATTCATTCAGTCCGAAATTTTTAATTTGAATTGGAGATGATTCGCCTTGAAAGTTTGGATTCCTCAGAAGGAATCGCAGAGCGCGTTGGTTACGTCTACAGGCGGAAACGACTATACTTTTGAAGTTTTGATCAAGCGACGTATTTATCAAAACAATAATACCACAATTCATTCGTGTTTTCCTATCGGGCATTTTGCATGGTGGAGTAATTGAAGGCACCCCCCGGCGGCGTACGGAACCACGTGCTACTAGTTCACTGAAAAAAAGTTACCGGCTATATAGACATACCGTCCGTTCAAGGCTCGGAGACTGAAAGTTTCGGGTGCTGGAGCGGTGGCTTCGATCGTGCCGGGTGCTACGCCCAGAACTTTCGGCCTCTGAACCCGGAACGCAGACGGTATGTCTATACTTTGATCTATACTGCCGTTATAGCGAAGAGAGCAGTAAGCACATTACTGTATGAGCCATGATAAGCACATACTTGTATGTGTCTCGAGGCTCATCCCAGCATGCACCTACTGCTCTCTTCGCTATGACGGCAGCATATATCCCGTGAGTACGGCCTCCGGTTTTTTCTTTTTCAGAGTCAAAAACGAAATTCACTGCCCGTATCTAGCTTGAGTTGGTTCCCTACTATGAATTCAGTTGAGATCTTGGAAGAAGCTAGGGCAGCTAGTTTATGAGTTGGCCCCCGTCTGTGAATTGATTTCGTTTAATTCGTAAATATACAATGAGAAATAAGTCAAATTCTCTACTTTTAATTGAATACTTTGATTTTGAGGTATATAAATTCAATTATTTCGGTTTGGATAAGTCCGAAAAACGTGTTCCATAATAAATAGATAGCAAAAATCCGGTTTTTTTAGAGCAATGAAGACGCTAAACCTTTCGACTCAGTTTTCTCAAAATGGCTGAAAGCGCGTTGGTTCCCATTTACTAATGCAATCCAAAAGTAACGCAAGTACGACTAGAAAAGTAGGCAAGACGCCATGAGTATTGAGGAGCGTAGTGTGATTCTCTTTTCTCCGAGATCGGCACTTGCTTCTTGAAAAAATCTGTAACTGAGGTCAAGTCCAAATAACGCTAAAGTCAATTTCAAAACAGAATGAGACCAATACAAATAACCCTGGCGTCAGTTCTATTCCTTGTCAGTATCAGCCTAATCGGTTGCAATCGGTCAATCTTTGATCGCTGTGCTGCTGTGCTGAAGAAGAAGGCCTTATGAACATTCGAGAGTTGCCGAATTTCCGTCAATAAAATGTTTATTTTCGAGCAAATCTATGAATATTTTCCCTCGTAATTTTCAGGAACTTTAGGTGAAATTGCAAACAACATCATCTGCAAAATTGGAAGAACAATATATTCATAAGTTTACCAGGAAATTCGTGTTTTATAAATGGAAATTTTGCAACGCCTGAAGGTTCATATGGCGTTTTTCCCTAGCATGGCAGAAGGGGACAGCTGAAGCGCAGTCGCTTGTAAGCCGGAAGTAACCTTACTGAGAATTCTAACACGATTTTTATCAGTGATGATTCTGAGAAGTTATTTTTTATTTTTTTTATTTTATATTTTTTTTTGAAAATTAATGACGTATAAGCATACGAATTTTAAGATAATATACATTGATTACATATACATTTGATATTACAAATATACATTTGATTTAATCTGCAAAAGAAAAAGTAATTTTTACAAAGCCATTTTGACCTTACATTATTGTGTGGAAACACGAGACAAAACAGCGTGGGATATATAGAGTCGTAACAAATCTTGGTAAACCCAGAGAGAGGGGATAATACTTTTCATTTGCACGGAGTAAGAAATTTCACATGAAATTGGACCGCGTTTAGCAGATGGGAACCAAGCAACATCAGCCATTTCCAAATTGTATTGCCAAACAGGACAATTTGATTGTTTACATAGGCTGTCCCAAAACAACTGAGAGTAAGTCTGTATTTCAGAAATAATAAAAGATATTGAAACGGAGTTTGTGGGAGGTTGTAGCTCATATCTTTAGCTATCCAACGAGCCCAAGATTTGCTATTTTGGTCAAAATTTCGCTGAGTTACAGCAATTTTTTGGAGCCGTGTAAAATATGACCCTACAGGATTTTTGAGTATTTTTTTCCTTGTCTGAACTGTTGTTCCAAGATCGCAACTTTGCGGATCACGTTGACACTGGTCTAGATGCAAGTTCTAACATGTTTGCATGTGCTTTCATTGCATATCAGAGTTTTCTTCAACTTCCCAGCTCAGTGAAGCCAACATTGTCTAGCGTTAATGACACGTGTTCTCGCGTTTGGTGCAATGAGTTCGCCCGCGGAGCTGAAACAAGAGCAACGCTATGCCATCCGTTACTGTGTTTACCAAGGTTTAACTGTCTCTGATACCGTGAAAGAGATATTAGTTGCTTATGGAGAAAATCGACTTGGGGAGAGCACCATTTATCGGTGGCATGCAGCTTTTTCCGAGGGTCGCGAGTCGGGAGCTTTGATTCCGCATGGCGGCCGGCCGTCAACTTCTGCGGCGGAGGAAGAAAGTGTCATTAACGCTGGACAATGTTGGCTTCCCTGAGCTGGGAAGTTGAAGAAAACTCTGATATGCAATGAAAGCACATGCAAACATGTTAGAACTTGCATCTAGACCAGTGCCAACGTGATCCGCAAAGTTGCGATCTCGGCGGAACAACAGTTCAGACAAGGAAAAAAATACTCAAAAATCCTGTAGGGTTATATTTTACACGGCTCCAAAAAATTGCTGTAACTCAGCGAAATTTTGACCAAAATAGCAAATCTTGGGCTCGTTGGATAGCTAAAGATATGAGCTACAACCTCCCACAAACCGCGTTTCAATAACTATTATTGTTTTTGAAAGACAGACTTACTCTCAGTTGTTTTGGGACAGCCTATGTACAAGGGAACGCTTGCGCGGATTTTATTGAACATTTAAAGAATTTGTTTTATACTGTGCGGAAAATTCACCGAAATTTGCACAAAAATCCGCATAATCGTTTTCATGTAAAAAATTAAAGTGCCAAATTGAATTTGGCAGTGGCCGATGTGACTTGGTTCCTTTCCCCTTAACGCAATCCAATTAGCGTCGGTCAGCCTGTTTTGTTGATTCATGCCTGATTACTGCGTTCGGAGAAAAAAATTAGCTGTAGTTAGGTTGTAAAAAAGTTTGAGTGATCAAATTTTTCAGAGGAGGCAGACAAGAATGAGAAGCATGCATCCGCATTTAGACTATAATTGTAGAGCTCACAATCAATATAATTTATTTTAAAAGGTTATTAAATGTTGCTTCTCTTGAGGGAGGGTGCGGAGGGAATCTTCATTGAAGGAAAGCGGAAGAGCTCTCAAAGAATTATTTTCTCCTCGTAATCCTTTGCGTAACCTGTGATATCATGCAAATTTTTTAAAACATGGCAGGAAAATCCTGTGGTTACATATCTGAAATATTCGTCCCAATCTAAATCAAATACATTCAGAGGGTAAATACTGCGATCTGTCATTGACATATGAGACCATAAACACTGCATGTTGTCGTCTTCAAATCTCAAATCCCTTTGAGTGAAACTGGTCAGTTGCTCAGAGGACATTCCAATTTTCATGTACAATTCTCGTAACCTGGGAGAAAATTTAGATATAAAAATAGGATTAGCTCTTAACACATCATGGATTAAAATTAAACTTCAATTTTTTTCAGGATATGTTTTGGTAAATTGAAATAAACTATGTATTTGGAACCATTATTATGTTATTTCCTCCAGATACGATAAAAAAGCAACCAATTTGGTTTGTCTGCGGGTGTATACTCATTTCATCTAAAAAGCTTAATCATCGTTTCATAATTAAGTGTATATACACTTTCCTGAAGACAAATACACACAGCGTCAGCCTTTTCATGTACTCGGATCAGGAAGTTAAGCTGTGAGCTTACACGTCGTGTGGTAAGAGAGACGGAAAAGAGGTGAAAAATCAGCGGGCCGATTATTGAAAGTTTAAAGCAGTCCAATAAGATATCGAAATCGAATTGCGATACATTGCATGGTAAAGATAGAACTGTGTCTTGTCTTGTCGTGCTCACATAGAATCAATAATAAGCCCGATCGTCATTTAAGCTGCACCTTGAAACTGCCCTCTCTTGATTCTTCTTTAAGAGTTTTTTTACATTTGTTGAACTTCCTATTCGAGCGTCCAATAATTTTGGTCTTGATCTGATCTTCTCTATCATCATCGTCAAGAATCAGAAAACTTCGACTGATTAAGAAAACCTCAGGCAAACTATGATCGGTGAAAAAATGTGCCTTATACACGTTTCCCACATAATCCCTTCAAAAAATTTTTCGTGCAATTTTGTTCTTTGGTGAAACGTTATATCTACAGACCTGGGCGACTCTTTAGAAATTTCGAGTCTAATCATCATGTTCTATTCTCACAAAAAATGTAGAATCCGTTTGCCTTTTACCTTAAAGGCGGACTCAGCTGTTTAACATCAGCCTTGACCGGTAGTAATGACACAATTTTGGCGAGGAGAAACTTCAAATTTTGAAGAATCTGATTATTTCTAATTATTTGCATAATCTTCTGCATCAAGTTAAACAGCATCCATTTGATGCGGATATTTCGTAACATCAGGGACCTTGCCCTCGTCCAAGTCACGGGGTTACGGTCGGTGACGTGGTTATAAATTGGGGTCACATCAACTTTTTCTCTCCTGAAAAAACAAAAAAGAGTGAAGTTTTTACTTTATCAAATTGAACTGCCACTGTTTCCGCAGAGTAAAGACGGAGCAAGAATGAGGACATCACACGAAGGATTTTTATTTTTATCCTCCCGTCACATTCTTAAGGTGCAATGATACAACTATTTGAACTCTCCGGAATGCGTGAGGTATCACGCCGCAATTGAAGGCGTTTTCAAAACAGCCAAGTTCCGATATCCGGATTATCGTTTTGCATGGTTCATATTCTTTTCTTTTATTCCGTACCACTTGTTTATTTTAATCCTCGTATAAAAACCACCCATTTGCTTAATACAATCCTAGCTGGAGCGCACTTAAGCTATGCATTCACCACTGCAAAAATGTCAAAGGAAATCGACCAGCCCGGCGTGCATGGAGGCTATTTCAATTGAGGACACCGCACCAAGCACGACCTATAACTGGAAACCTTGTTTTGAGAAAAACGCATTTAAAGTTTTGTTTTTGATGTACTGCGCAGACTTTTCTACGCAGGTACCCTGTTTTGGTGTTTTTGGGTGACCTAACCCTTCTATTGAAGGATGCCGGGTAGATTTTGCGATACATTTTGGGTTTACACTCTAATATATTAAATTTAAAAAAGCGGTTTATAGTCCATTATTACGCCCAACAGTCATTTTGGTGGCAATATGAAGTATAAATCATTTTAATCACGCATGATTAACACAAAATGAAAGCATATCGATAGTGAATAAAGAAAGGGGTCAATTTTATTCTCCCGTCACATTCTTACGGCGCAATGATACAACTATTTGAACTCTCCGGAATGCGTGAGGTATCATGCCGCAATTGAAGGCGTTTTCAAAACAGCCAAGTTCCGATATCCGGATTATCGTTTTGCACAATTCATATTCTTTTCTTTCATTCCCTACCACTTGTTTAATTTTAATCCTCGTATAAAAACCACCCATTTGCTAAATACAATTCTAGCTGGGGCGCACTTAAGCTATGCATTCACCACTGCAAAAATGTCAAAGGAAATCGACAAGCCCGGCGTGCATGAAGGCTTTTTCCATTTTAATCTTCCGTCACGTTCTTACGGCGCAATGATACAACTATTTGAACTTTCCGGAATGCGTGAGGTATCACGTCGCATTTGAAGGCGTTTTCCAAACAGCAAAGTTCCGATATCCGGATAATCGTCTTTCATAGTTCATATTATTTATTTTTTTCATTTCTAACCACTTGTTTATTTATAATCCTCCTATGAAAATTACCCACTTGCTATATACAATTCTAGCTGAAGCGCACCTAAGCTATGCATTCATGACTGCAAAAATGTTACCGGAAATCGAAAAGGCCAACGTGCATGAAGGCTATTTCAATTATGTGAAGAAATGAACGTATTTTTACCAAACAGAACCACGTTCGGATGGAAAATATGGGGTTTGCTCGTTAGTTCTCGGGCCGTAAGAGTGAATGGGAATTACAAAGTGCCAGTGACGTCATCGGTGACAACGAGAGCGATCCCGAGGAGCTGCGCGTTCTTTAACTCATGAGCCCCGTCCACAACGCTCTTGTCCCTTGCGCACGGCTCATAAGTCCCGCCTATAGTTGGCACATAGTTCCGTTTGGTGAATTTGAAGTCCCGCTTTTCCAATTCTTCAAAAGGAAACAAACCCACTTTTACATTAATTCTTGTCCAGTTCCCTACGAGAACACCTCATCTTTCCCACCCACACATAGTTCTGTTTGGTAGAACCTCCAAATAATAGGCACAATGTTGATACAAAGCAACACGAGTTTCTGAGCGTGGCCAAGGAGAAAGTTCCTCCTTGCCCGAATAATTTTCCCTCAAAAAAAAGGCTTTTATTCTGTTTTTCAGGAATCTTCCATCCTCTCTTCCGTTCCCATTAAAAATGTGTGTCTGCGCCTCTAGGTGCAAAATGCTACCGCATTTAAACCATATTTATACAATAAAATGTAATTTCTGGTATTTAGACCAGAAAGTGCGTAGCAGCCCCACATTGACGATAAAACTGAAAAATGCGCTTTCCAGTTTGCGACGTTGAAGATTTCCTGCCATATTCTATTTTTTAAATGGGAAACTTCTTAAGATCATATCTAAAAAGCTCTTGTTATTTTTTTCCAAGTGTGAGGAATATTCTGTGAAAATGTCAGGCGTTGGTTATGTATTTCTCCGTAAAAAATAAAGTAGGGGGGTAGATTTTGCAACGTCGGAAAGGAGATGCTCGTTTCTGCAGTTCCACCGTCGATACATAACGCTATCAGAGAATCGGGCTCTCGTATTCAAATCATCGCTTCTCAAAATGAAACAAATCTTGACGAAAATGTCACCCCAATGAGGCACAAAGCAGAGTAATTCATTAATTTAAAATTCGCTTGATGGTGTGTTCAAGAAGAATCGCCTTAATTTTGTAAAGTATGCAATATGAACTCTCTAAGTGTAAATTAAAAAGATAGTGGTATCAAAGCAATGTGTCAGTGTTGCAGCTATTTCTGAGTCCGAGCTGTCCACTTACGATGGGTAACATTTCATGAAACTCTGCTTTAGATCACTTATAATTACCAAGACTCTGCGTCTTTATTTCCATTATAAGGCAGAATTTTTATATCACAGTTCCACAACATGATGGCGTTGTCAAGGGTCTATTTCCATAGATCAAAACCCTAATAAAGTGTGTTGTATACATACGTATACTATACGGGGTGTCTTAAAAGTCCCTTCCACCCCATCTAAAATTTTACCTAATTAATATTTTGAAACGAAACTTTGAGGATTTTTATCGATCATTACTTTTGGGGCCCTCCAAAAGTAGCTAACATTGATCGATGAACAACCGCAAAGTTTCGTTTCAAAATATTGACTGGGTACAATTTTAGAGGGGTGGAAGGGACTTTTAAGACACCCTGTACATTCAAGCCACTAAATCAGCGCAATAGGGCACTCTGCGACTCCGAATCGCCATAATCTACAGATCACTAGGCAAATGACTCCTACTGATCTCGTCCGTTACGAACACGTTCTCTCTGCAAAATCCCCGAGGATTTTTCTCCGCCAAAATTTCATTTTCCTTGCACATTAGGATTTGAATTTCTCCTTCAACTGCCGAACATCTCACTCCCGTAGGTAATAATACTTTTCAAGATGGCGCGGTGTTATAATGGACCACTAGACAAGGTACGAATTTCAACATTCTGATACATGTTTCTTAACCGAAATTTCACGTAAAACACGATGCGCACAACGAAAATTACCGATATCAACTCCTTACGAAGATATTTAATGATTCTTGGTGCGTGAATTCAAACTATCCGCTCATGAAAACTCGATGCTCTACGTGATTCACATCGCGCACTAAACGTTATCATGACAGTCTCTGCGATATAAAAATCTGGCAACCTTAATCTTGACACTTTAGCTCAGCTATTACAAATAGCTTATAGTTTGAACAACACATGGTGGGAAATGAACATTGTTCGATTGAGCAGCTTGCTGAAACCGTTGTAGTGCGCGATTTGACTCACGTAGAACTTTGAGTTTCTTGTGAGCAGGCAGTTCAAACTCCTCGTAACCAATGTGAAATAAAAACGTCAATATCTTTGTTAGAAGTTGGTTTCAGTAATTTTCGTTGCGCAAATCGTATTCTACGTGAAATTCTGGTCAAGAAACATGTATCAGATTGCTTAAATTCGTACCTTGTCTAGTGGTCCATTCCCTTCAGTCCCTCTGGATCTAGGGGATGTAAGCCTTATATTTGGACAAAAGTAATAAAAGCTATTACCTCAATGAGTGGGTGTGCCATGGTAGCGCCACGAGAGCGCATGCACATTTATCCACCGGAATGATGTTGATTCGATGATGAGACGACATTTTAGGGATCCGGAGTGCACTTAAACCAAGTCGGAAAAACAGTGCACCGACTCCATGAAAGCTGCGATTCCACCCACACACTGGCTCCTTATAAGAGTTCATCACTATATAATGACACAATAAGAGAGAATTGTAAGATTACGTACTCTAGAAAAAACGCGGGCAGCAAAAAGATTCGTTCACAGTTCAAAGATGGAGCTCCGAAAGTATACGCTCCCTCTCTTGAGAAGGCATCGATGAGGATCTCTATCTGTCTCTGATTCACTTTGGAAAACCACTGAATCCGGTTATTAATCAATGACTAATGAACGTATATTTCTGTCAAACAGGACTATGTGCGAGGGGAAAGATGGGGGTGTGCTCGTTAGTGCCCGGGCCATAAGAATGAATGGGAAATATAAGGCGCCAGTGACGAAACCGCCGCCGTACTTGTACTTGAGACCTGTCCTCAATGCTCTAGATACATGCCCACGGCTCATGGGTGCCGCACTTACAATGGAGATGTTGCATGTGTGAGGAATTTGCGATTTGACTGTTGATTATAATGTAAAAGTTCGTGAGAAACACGATGGTGCCACTGGTTTTCTCTGAAATCAACTCCCAAGCTCAAAAAGAGCTCTCAAGTTGAGGCCAAAATGGAGGGGATATCCCACCCTACCCCGAGAGTCCACATCTACATCAAGACAAACTCTCCATTCACAGATAGGGAGCAAATACATTGACAGGGCTGCCACTTTATTTGGGGACTCCAAGACTGAAAACACGGCAACCCTGCTAATGGATTTGCTCCCTATCTTTGCACGGAGAGTTTGTTTTGATGTAGACGTGGACTCTCAGGGTAGGGTGGGATATCCCCTCCATTTTGGTCTCAATTTGAGAGCTTCTTTTGAGCTTGGGAGTTATTTCAGAAAAAACCAGTAGCACCATCGTGTTTCTCGCGAACTTTTACATATAAAGCAACAGTCAAATCGCAAGTTCCTTACACATGCAACATCTCCATTAGTTGGCTCACAGTAGTCACAGTTCTGTTTGCTGAATTGGAGAGGCGGCCGATTTCACGTTCTGTCAAACGGAACTGTGTGCACAGTGTATGAGCCGTGGGTATGTATCTGGAGCGTTGTGGACAGGGCTCACGAGTTAGTCGGCCGCGGAAGAAGCGAGTTTTTGAGGGGGAGAAAAACTTACCCAAAGATGGTCTGTAAATTGCAATCGGGAGTCTGCCAAGTTTCTCTCGTATTACCTCTTCTGCCATGATCTTGGTCAGTACATGAGTATTTGGTACTTTGCCCAGTATCCTGTGGGTTTATTAGGAAAATTTATTTTGAATGGTAGTTAAAGGACATTTTATGAAGCTCATTCAAGGACCGTACTGCGAACCATCGCTGCATGCATAGCCGAGGAAAAAAGGAGCCGAGGAGGTCATAATTTTTACAAATTCTAAAGGTAGGCCTGGACCACCGAATCTGTATCTGATGAATTTTTGTTTATTCAAGTCTACTATATTTCATGCCAGGTATGATGAGAATTATGTGTATGTGATCTTGGAAAAAATGGACGTCATTTTGCAATGTGGAACTGCAATTTCTGGCTCATCTGTAAAAACACTTACGTGCATAGGGTAACTATAATGGCACGTAAGTTGTTTCTATATGTAATATAAGTTGTTTCTAAACTGAGGCAGATATTGTATAGTTCCTAATTTCAAAATGTGACCCAATTACTCATCACTAGTCATGGACACTTCGATAAGAAAACAAAGCCTGTATGAAAATCATTTGGTTGGAGTTTAACATTTCACTGCAAAGGAGGATTTGTAGTCTACATGAGACACAGTGGATCGAGTCAATAGGAGAGGTCGGACAAAATTTGGAAACTTTAAACGCTTATAACTCCGTTCATACAAGCGTTTGAGGTCTTAAAAGTGGCTCCATTATGGTTTTCTCGCGAAATTTTCTTCTATAACACCACTTAAAACTTACAATGTGACGAAAGAAACATAAAAATCGGCAGTTTTAGTCAAAAATTTCATGACCGACCTCTCTAATTGACTCGATCCACTGGGCGACACACGGATTTTGAATAGGATCCGCGCAGAGGATGTCTTTTGGCCTACATCGAAGATTGAAGGCGAAACAGCAACGTGCGGAACTGACGCACTTCATTCCTGTCAATTCTGCTTCCTCCATATTCTCGGTCAGGAAACGCCACTGATGGTGCTAAATTTTTTTTTTTTTTATTATTGTTAGTAAAATAGACAACTACAAAAAGTATTAATCCTAATTATGCTAGATTGAGTGGTGCTAAATTACGAGTCTTTTTTCTACCGTTATCTACCGATTCAACCAAGACTGGGACTTACAATTTAGTGAGGCCAGCGACAGCGACGTCGTTTACTGTCTTAAGGGCTGCCATCATTTGAGACGGCCTGTACAAAGCTGGAACGAACTTTTCTTGAACGCGCTCCGACTTCAGGTGTAAGTGAATGAAGGCTGTTGAGGAGTAAACAAACGCCTGTGAACCATGATTTATAATTTTTGTGACACCTTATCATATTTCTTTCCAATCGACAGATCACTTAGCTCAGAAATAATTGAAAAATATATTCACGATCAGACTAAGATGTTTACAAATTGTATGGAGTCATCCAGAAATTACATTGAAAAAAAATCTCGGTGTATTTACTAAGGAAAGGGTAAAATTACCAAGAATTCAGGGTTCTATTTGATCCCAGTTTTTTCTTGGTAAAATTACCATTTATGGAATTGGTAATTTTACCGAGTAAGTCAATACTTTTACTGGACCCCGGTAAAAACGCCAATATTTTTATCCACTGTGGTAGAATTACCGAGATAAAATGGCAAAGTTACCGGGAATTGATTACCAATAAAAGTGGTATTCTTACCTGAAAAAAACAGTAAAAATACCGGTTTTTAGGTCAGCTCACCAGTCTGTCTTGGTAAAATTACCAATAATTGGTAAAAAAAGTGAGATGGTAAAGGTACCAACGGACCTTGGTGAAAACGCCGAGAATTTTTTTTCAGTGTAAGATCTTCTATGAAATTTCTCAGCGCTAGAAAAACACCTATCACACCGTTTGCTTTCAACTCCCATTGTTTAAACTCTCATTTTCTGAAATTGGACCACGGGAACGCTCATTAAAGCAATGTTTTCGAGCACCTCAGATCCAAAAAGACCGCAGATCTTGGGTACTCAGATCCAACGTTCAGATTGATGATGGGTGGCTGGTGTGAGGGGGGGACTTACTGACAGATTTCGGCGAGGTCAAATTTTAAAAAAGTGAGAGCTTGATTAAAAGCTGAGAGTACGCTATGAGTAAAGTCAACGGTGAAATTGGTTTTTTCTAGCATTAGCGGTTTTTGAGGATTTTCATAGGACAGCTCAACTTCTGCATGTTCTTTTTTTGACTAGTTTTTTACTTAAAATGTATAGTTTTCAACAAATGCACCCGATCCCATGAATTATATTATTTTGAGGAAGAGATGACAATCAAATTAATCGCCCAAAGATGGTTAAGTTTCACCAAGCATCACACGATTATTAATGGTGGAGTCGCTATGCGATGGTGACTTTGCGAGGAAAGCGTATCTTGATTTGTGACGTTGCAAACTTCCTGTCATAATATATATTTTCAACGGAAAAGTATTTAACATCATCTCTCGAAAACCTCTCTGATCTTTCTCCTCTGTGTTGAGAATAATAGCGCATTTAGATTTCAAGCAATAGCGTTAATTTGTTCTCTTTTGATTAAATAAGAGTGGAACTACTTATAGACTTATACAGAGAGTGAAAAGAGGGGGGTGAGAATCGCGTGGCTGAAGAACGCCCTTTGTGTCCTCTCATGTTACGAAATTGTCAAATAACAATTGGACATAGAGTGCATAGAGTCGTAATGTAAATGGGAGAGCTGGCGCCATGTTCTGCTCGACGAATTCCGAGCCCGGTGTGCGCCGGGTTCAGGTCGCTTTTTCGATACATTTTCGATCCAAAATGGCGGTGTGGAATACGTGGTAATTCCTATCTCCTTTGTTGTTGTTGTTGTTGTTGTTGTTGTTGTTGTTGTTGTTATCGGATGGCCGGGTACCCATGTATCGCAAACAATCGATTATGTATCGAAAAAGTGACCCGGCGTCACACAGGAGTCTCGGAATTCGGGACATGGAAAATGCTTAAAAGTGGCGCCAGCTCTCCCACTTACATTACGACTCTATGTACTCTATGCAATTAGACCACGTTAACCAGAATGGAACCAAGCCACATCTGCTATTGCCAAATTTAACTGGGTACTCTAATTTTTTACAAGAGACCGCGTTTTTGCGGATTCTTTTGAAAATTTTAGGGAATTCGCTTTGTACTTTGCAGAAAATTCACTTAAATTTGCACAAAAATCCACACGACCGTTTTCATATAACCATTGAAGTGCCCAGTTAAATTTGGCGATAGCTGATGTGGCTTGGTTTCTTTCTGCTCAACGCGGTCCATCTCACTCGGTGTCGGAAGGTAAAAGCGTTTTTTGTGACTTGACATTGGATTAAAATTGGAAGGTTACCTTTAAATTATGCATAGACTCCGCTAAAGTCACAATTTCCGACGTGCTATTAACATTCAGAAAATAAGCTCGTCGCAATGTCTCGTTTGGTTTGCTTGTGGACGCAATGTGGAAAATAACGTTCACCTTCTTTCTTATCATTTCCAACTCCTCGGAGCCAATCCCAAGCATAGGCCCCTCCAGATCTCCCTCCAAGACGCATACTTTTTCGAGAATCGTCGCATTATTTTCTAGGAGGGGCAAAAATAACTGTAAAACAAAAACAAAAAAATATTACCATAGATAGTTTAAACAGGAGAGTTGGTGATTTTAACATGGGTCGTTTAAGTTATGAGACATCTCGCATCAGTCATTTTGTAATTATACTTTTTTACAAGGTGAATACTGAGAAAAATGATATGCTGTTTTAGCAACTAGGATGTCAAAAATATGTCTGGTGATCCTAGGATGCTACCTTGATTGCCCACGCAGTTGAATTTGCACTCATAGGATGTAAAGTTACCTGCCAGGGCAGTAAAGGCAGCATCTTGGGATCACCAGACACATTTTTGACATCCTAGATGCTTAAACAGCATATTATTTTTTTCACCGAAGGTTTTTTCAGTAGGTCTTCACTTCATAGCATAAAATTCTCCCAGTTTAAGGAGGTTTTATCACCTTCAAAAATTGAGAACTTTTTCGTTGCAACAAAACCTCGGAAACAATAGTTTCCCCGAGTTTTCCCCCCGTCACATTAGCCTTTATATGATCAGTTTCTTCTTTTGGAGTCGTATGAGACTTCAAATCTATTTATCTGCAAAAATATAAACGACCGAAATAATTCACTCGGCTGAGGGAACCGAGCAACCAAAAAGCGGCCAACCAACCAATAGCAGCACCGTATTCTACATTTTTATGATGATAAAATAAACTCACTTAAACAGCAGAATCATGATGGTGAACACTTGTACATCTACGAGACTCACCGGGTTTTGAAACATCACCGTGGCTCTTTTTTCTGCAGGTTGTCCATTCATTTTTCTAATAAGGAGGTATACCCTATTAATACCTGGACATGATCTGCAATACCAAAACATTCTCATAGAAGCGAGGTATTATTCGAGGTATCGTTAGGGTGAAGTAATTACCATCGATCACATCGCATAGTAAATTTTCATGATACTAACACGCTTTTTCGATATTTTTATGTGGTAACACAGAAAAAATTGTTTGCGTCGGGGGCGCAAGACGAGTGAGTCTATTGGCGCTACCTAATTTTGTTTTGTCCTACACCTGAACGTTTAGGGCCACAACAGACTCCGATCTATGTCTCAGCCCTAAACCAACATACAGGGTTATTCAAAAGTCACGCACCACTGGCCATGAGAGGGCCATATTTGAAATGTTTTGAGTTGCCCCCCCCTACACCCCCTCCCCTCGAGGGAGTCAAAAACTGGAGAGTACCACAAAAAGTTCTTTAACTCTCGATATGAGGAAAAACGTCTTAAACCGCAAGTCAATATCATAAATAGTACTAAAGTTATGGCCAGTGGTGCGTGACTTTTGAATGACCCTGTATATGGGACGCAAAAAAGTTACCTAATGTCGATGGCCCCACCCGTCTTGTGCAGTGGCGTGGCGTGCTTTGCGATATATCGATTGATCTGCCATTTAAACCTGGAAGCGGATCGATAAACAGGGTGTTCGCAGCGAACACCTTGATAATCGATTTTTTACCTTAGTTTCCATGGGAAAATATCGATAATCGATCATTGACGCCTCGCCACTAGTCTTGTGTCTCTGACGTAACGTGTAACGTAATCGTTATTTCCGTGCTGAAAGTATCCACTTGAAGCTATGGAGGGAGGATTAGCTGGACCACTTTTTGCAGTACGGAACCACTCTTATGGCTCTTTTTAAAAGCAATATATATGCCATTGTTTTCCCAATGCAGGAAGGTGATTTTACGAAATGAGAAAGTGGTTCCTTATTCCAAAGTGGTTGGACGTTCCAGTTACGGTTGCAATAACTTCTGGTACATGCAATGCCGAATGTTTCATGTAGACACATGCTCAACAATACAAAACTATTCCTAAAACATGAACAGTCATTTCGTTACTCATAAAATATGGCTGAAGTCGAAAAAAGAGTATTTACAATGCAACGTTTAAGACTTTCCGATTATGTTTCATTTTTTAAAAGAAAACCAACCGTAATATCTCCTTGACATTTTCTGTGAATTTTTTTTTAATGAGTCACGTAAGAAAATTGGCAGAAAATTCCAGTCACAGCCATTTGGAAGAAGAGAGAAGGAGATAAGACAGTTTTCCCTTGCCCAGACCCGAGGATTTTAAAGTTTGTCTTTACCAGTGGCGATTTTTCTCGTTGGCAACACCGTTTTACCACCGTTTCAATCCAAAAATGCTGATTTTAGGTGAGGCAAGTTGCCTTATCAAGAATCGATTGTTATAAATACATTCAAATGGAGGAAAAACAACGATGCCAAATTTATGACCACTGACCTGAGGGGGGTCGACTTGACTTGGGTCGATTTCAATCGACTCCGGGGGCATTTGTCGTAATTAGTTTTGAAAGTTTTGCCCCGTCCCCCCTCCATCAAATTGTCACTGTATTCTATTATTTTACGTCGTTTGTTCAATGCTAAGCCAAGTGATAGATAACGTGAGAGTAGCGGTCATCACGACGATCATGTACGTACTGCCGAGGGACCAAAAAAAGACAAAACTAAAGATACGTGCTCATGAGATACACGGGACCTTAAATAATCAAACACCTATGGATTGGCAACTAAGTCAAGCCCAAGTTTGGTTCGTACATGCATAATGCATGATTTGCAGTGCAACAATGTATCTCAATGAAAATGATGCGTGAACGCTGACCGATTGACCCTACTCAGAATTTCGAATCAAAATTCAAGCATTACTTACTTCTGAAGCTGTCCCTACACGGTCAAATCGGGAGCTTCAATATAGATCACAAATGCCTTTTGCCATTCTTTAATTGGCCAGCTGTGCAAGCCCGGGTCATCGATCACTCACTTTGAAGTTCCTATTTTGACTGTGTTAACATGGCTTCACTATATTGACAATTTCAAGCAGTACCTAAGGCTATGAATAATATTTACGTCGGATACTTTTGCTAAGATAGGTAATCTTTAATCTTACAGGCATTTGTAAGTTATTTTAGCCGGGATACGTTGTTTCCTTTCGTATCGCAAATGGCAATGGGCGATCTAATTAATTTCTAATAAAATTTAATCTATGTCAATAATTCAGTAACGTACAAATATTTGCAATAAATTAGCAAGTTTCGTCCAAACGTTACACCCAATCCCTGATAAGCTGTCGAGGATACGAGGAATTTACTGAGAAATTGAAATATAGGTGGTACGAGAAAATATAAATTTTGAATGAAGTTAGTTGATGGATTAAAATTCGTTCAAAGAACCAATTTATAATTCTAAATTTGCACTAAATGATGGGCAGTCTTACTATATTTGCCAATGATTCTATGCATCAAAAACACTGGAATTCATAGACTTAAAAAGAAGAGGTGTTTGCATTTTGGGCATCTTGGATTTTTTCAATGACGTAGGTCGTAGGTCGGTACGGACGGTTATTTTTATCATCGATTTTCTTGGAAATGTATTCGTTTATGGAAAAAATCATTATAAATGATGTGTTTTAAATTATATTTCTAGTTTATTTACGCAAAAAACGGATGTTATGGTCCGTTTCTCATACTTCGAATTTCGGATTTTATTGGAATATCGACGCCATGTTGTACGGACCTACGCTACGGTACGGGGTAAACAATCCTCAATATGTAAACACCTCCCTTTTTTTCTTCATGACTGGATTTTGTATCAGCAAAAATTAAAGAATATATGTATGTTTCCTCTCTTTCATTTGTTTACTTGTTTATTTTTTTATTGGTTTGTAAGATAAACCAACCTGAGCAGTTTCTCAATGAGAGCCATTCCCAAAAAACTGGTACTGCCGGTGACCAACACATTTGCACCTTCGTAAAATCTTTGGATAACAGACGAAGGATTGGACGCGTTTGATAAATTCTGTTCATAGACGTCACCTTCTCCATCATTGCAGCATATCCTCTCAATAGTGTCTGAATAAGTGTCGATTTCTTCGTTTTGCGGTTTTACTGGGATTCCCATGGTTTTGCGACTCTTTCACGACCCTCTTTCTGAAAAACATTGAGCGGGAAATGAGAATAGCAGCCCCCCCCCCACCCCCCACAACAAACACAGTACCGATCTCAAAATACAATCGGGTGAAAAATTTAGAGTGCCAGAGAGCCTGTAGTAATGATGTGATGTGAATTTTTTTTTTTTTTTTTACATGCTCCAAATAGTGTAAACTATTAAATGTAGAAGAATAATTTAAGAAAATTGATGAAGCCTAATAGCTTTTACGTATACACAGATGAGAAATATGAAACGATGTTAAACTCTGGATGGACCAGAGGGGCGAGCGGTGTTTTCAAAAATCAAAATAGCAACTCTGAATTCTCATGACACGGTGAAAATTGGGGAGTTTTAAAAAATGTTATATTTTTTCGAGTAATTTATTGCTTCATGACGTATATTATTAAAGTTGATAAAATTGTTGCGACTGTTCAGTACTCACGGAGAGAGACCAGTGATCGTCGATCCTTTGATGTAAGAGCGTGTCTGTATTTTTACTTGAGCTTTGTTCTTCATTCACAGTGGCGTGGCGTGTTTTGCGATATATCGATTGTTATGCCATTTAAACCTATGGAAAAGGATCAATAAACAGGGTGTTCGCTGCGAACACCTTAATAATCGATTTTATAGCATAAGTTTAAATGGCATAAAAATCGATATATCGCAATTTACGCCACGCCACCGCATTCAACTCCATGTTTCATTGGGCTCACGAGGAAGTAGAGATACGTTCTTGCGTCAGAGGGTTGACGGGAACACGACAGCAAAATTTTCAGTAGTGCGACTTTTCTCGTCGAGTTGTATCGAAAAATCGGATTTTGGGATTTGGACTTTAATGGCTCTCTGTGGTGCCCAAAGAATAAGATGCAAATTATTAACATTTTCGTTCACTGAAAAGAAATGTTACGGGCTGTATAGACATACCGCCCGTCCCAGGCTCAGAGGCCGAAAGTTCCGGGTGCTAGAAAGTAGCTTCGGGTGTTCCAGGTGCTATGCCCGGAAATTTCGACCCCTGAGTCTGGAACGGAAATGCGGACGGTACGTCTATACAGCCGGTAGGTACGGCTTGCACGGTCGGAGTTTTGTTTTTTCAGTCTGCTAGTTGAGGGTGTAAAGTTGCATTAAGATTCGAAAATTCCTTGTCCTAAAGAGGATAGACTAAAATTGTAAGAAGCTCTTTCTAAAAACTACTTTTTTTTAAACTATGAACTCCAAACTGCAAAAACCTTGGTTTGCTTAGACTTTTTTCTCCCAAAATGCTCTATGACACTCCTCCATACTATATTTTCAATAGCTTTAATATTAGTTTTTTGTGAACTTCGGTCATTTTTCCCGTGGACAGCTAAAATTTTATAAAGTGCATAATATCTGCAGAGCATTGTAAAAAAATTTTCTTAACATAATATTTTTAATGACATTGGCATTGCACCAAATCCATTGAGCGTTTACAGAAGCGTTGAAAATTAGTCTCGAACATAAGTACTGAATGCAGAATATAAAATGTTAAATGTGGTCAAAGTTTTACCTATATGCCTTGACATGCGTTATTCCTCACCTGGAAAATCCTGGTTCATTCTCACGTCACTCAACTTTTACTGTCACTTTTGAAATCGAATGAATTTTGAATTGATTTTTATTTGAATAAATGCATTTTGCGCATTAAACAGTGTTCAATCTCAGCTGAAAATTCAAACTTCAAAACAGCGTAAGGCATTTAAAAAAATAATAAATAAATAATTAGCTCATTAATACTCTAAAGGCACTTGAACATTAATCACAATAGAAAAAATAAAATTTAGAAAGTAGTATAGAACGGAAATGATCAACCAAGCCTCTAAAAGTGTTGTAAACTTGCATTGATTCAGAAATAAACAACAGCGCGGTTCTCTCGATTGCAAAAGCGTAGTGACTTTCTTAATTGCAAATGAGATGCCGTAAAAAATCGGTCAACATGACTCATTTAAATTTGAATTTCGCGCCTGTAAGAGGCATGTCCACCTCATAGACAGAAGTAGAGTCTTTACTAATGAAACATCTTATCATTCATACTACCATACTGTCGTTTTGACAAACCAAAAACGTCGCCAGCGTAGTTGGTGTGACATTATAAGATACAACCATAATATTTTACTCACTTTAAAAAAATGTCCATCTTTTTCAAATGATTTAGGTACATTTTTGCTAAAGTCCTGTCGTAAATAATAGAACCATAGATTTCCAATTCAATCTTTTTTTCTATCTTTTCAACTCATTTATAAATCTGATTTGTTGACCGATAGGTAAAGTATTTTCCAAATGACGCGTGCACCATAAACACGATTTTGAGAAAGTTGATATAAACTGTGCTCATCGACCTGCTACTGATGTTAGCATTCTGAAAAAAGTCTGCTTCTTCAAACAGCAAAGAATTCAAAAAATATTGTTGCCCAAAATCAGATATTAGTGTAGGCAAAACAAGCTCCCACGTGGTCGAACAGTGGTATCATCCCCGAAACAATATCCGTCTAATACCCCGGTCAATTCCTGAAAATCAATTACCATTAAATGATTGATTTTTTGTGAAGCACCTAGACCCGTGACTTCAGTCTCTGGCTTTTCAAAATAATTCCCCCTTAGCACAGCAGCAATTCAAACTTGATGCGGCTTAGGGCGTCCCTGTCAAAGTCGGACTGTAAGTAAGAAGCTGACGGACCCAAGTATGTGATGCAACTATTTCAACGTCCGAGTAGCCGAGATTGCATAGATAAATAATTGAAGGCGAAATCTGTTGCGCACTGGTACTATCGCTCGATTGCTCGATTTGACTATCGGATAGAGTTTAACTTAGAACCCAGCAAATTGGATTTTTTAGAAATATGAGCTCGGGGAAATTTTGGATTCAACTAGTCGTAACAAGCTGTCCGAAAATTTCACTGTCTTTTCTTTGTGCTGCCGATAAAATTCAGTGAAATTTTCAAACAGATTCAACCAACGATTTCTCTGTAAAATAATCAAATGGCGGCAGTACTTTTGAAACGTCGCATGGCGCTTTTTCGACATTTAAGGCAATTCTATCCCCTAATAAAAATAATTGGGGCTCTCGTCACTCAAAAAGAAAGGGCGAAATCGCCCATTTCCGTTAAATCAAGATCAAATTTTAAATTATTTAAACCGTACCATACTTGCAAAATGCGATGACCTCCTGTTTGCTCGCGTAGGTAATAATAATCAATGAAAACCTCATTTCGGAATTTTGGCGCTTACGACATTTGAAAAATGATCCGTCTAATTCAGCTTTCTGTCTATTTTTAAGCTTGGGCCTCAGTCCCTGTGTTGCATCACTTACAAGTTAGTCTTCCAGCTAGATAATTCATTAACAGTCTGAGATAAAGCCACTGTGACGTCATTTTCTCAGTAAAAGTCTCACGTACAGTTTATTCTGAGTTGTTTATCAGCCTTCGTATGCTGGAGTATGCGTGGTATTCTTCACTTAGAATTAAGTATATTGAAGAGCTGTTTAACCTATACGTACGTTTTTGTAAAAATAAAGTTTTCTTTTTCCAGTCTTTTTTTTTTCAATCTCTAACTCCTACTCCAAAAATAGTTTCAATCCCTTGGTAAACAAGTAAGCAAGTCCAAAAGTACTTTCTGTTAATTGACCAACGTAAGCTGTCGCGGGTCCTACTGGATCACATTAAGCAGAGTATATGACTATGTATATTTTGGGTGTTTTTAAAGAGAAAAAATAAATTGTCTAATCAGAATCAGATTCCGGGAAAGAGGGAAATTTTTATTACATATATAATATAACAAAAGCAAATAAAATAGAGTGGTAAATAATAATTTTGACCGCATGAGGGTGCAAAGGCGAGAAAATGATTTCATACCCTTTTCGTAACATCATGCATATTAGTTAATTAACAAGACAATAATCAGACTTTTTAAAAAGAGGATAAGAAATTTTTGAGGATGGCCACTGTTTAGGCGACGTTCTTCAAAAAAAAGGATTTCTTCCCTCGAAAATTACACATAAAGTATAGGGTAAAGTAGTATTATTGTAATATATTCAACATAGATATTATATGAGTATTTTGATAATTTGGCACATGCGAAGAATGTATTTTGATTATTACATTTTTTTCATTTGTTTAATGGACGGACAAAGAATTGATAGTTTATTTTCCTTGATTTTTATGTTTCATGTAATCGTTGAAAATCAGCTTCGCCGTTATTGCGTCCTCGCCACCCATTCCTGAAACAACGAAGCGTCATATTAAGAAAAAAGAAGAAGAAAAAAAACATTGCTATGGCTTGAATATATAACAGAGAAAAAAATGCTTCGAGATTTACAACAATTTTAAACCGCTTTACACATGTTGACAATTTGTTTGGAAAAGTTGAATTAAGAAATGAACTTCATAGCCTTGGACTAGTATATCATTCCATGCAAATTACCCCTCATCCTCGTACAAAATTCAACCTTGCATAAGTTGAGTATGTTCGTAGTCTTGACTTATTACACCTTTGGTTTGAGAAGCGTGTAACACGGTAGGAAAACACTCATCGCGGGTCACGATGTGAACACTTTTTGGGCACATTTCATAACAATAATTGAAAATCAACCACTCCCTATGTAAATTGGACGTATTTCTGTCAAACGGAACTATGTGCATTAATACATGAGCTCTGAGACTCATAAGATTATATGCATAACAGGGCTAACGTCATAATGCGCATAGTTCCGCTTGGCAGAAATACGCCCAATTAAAATGTGCATGCCGATTGAGGATTTCATCCTTTCCCTGCGCTGGATTAGTTTGACAGTAAATCTCAAATTGGAGCAAAACCCCATTTGGACGCATTTCTAACATACAGGACTATGTACGGGAGGGGGAGATCAGGTGTGCTCGTAGTGAGCTGGACAAGAAACAATGTAAAAAAGGGGCTACATTCCTTTTGAAGAATTGGAAAAGCGGGACTTCAAATTCACCAAACAGAACTATGTGCCAACTGTAGGCGGGACTCATGAGCCGTGTACATGGGACATGAGCGTTGTGGACAGGGCTCATGAGTTAAAGAAAGTGCAGCTCCTCGGGATCGCTCCCGTTGTCACCGATGACGTCACTAGCTCTTTGTAATTCCCATTCACTCTTACGGCCCGAGAACTAACGAGCACCCCTATATTTCTCACCCAAACGTGGTTCTGTTTCGTAGAAATACCTCCATTTAAAGATGATTTAGTCAGCGCTTTCAGTGCTTCTGGGATGTCAGCAAGGCCTAAAGTCGAATCTATATGAGAGCAGCCCGTCTTTTGCTCTTCTTACTTGACGTCTATATGATCTAGTCGACCTTCTAACCTCGAAGTATCAAATATATTACGCGTTTTATCGATGTCGAGAGTACCTCAGTATTGCGAAGATACCTTTCTTACTCTATCTTCAACCTCTAACTTTTTCATTCAAATTCAATTTATTCAATAGGGTTTAGGGTGGCCCACAAAAAATGAAGCACGCAAAATGAACGTAAGGCTTCAACCGATGAGAATCATGGCATTTTAGCGCAGAAACAGTGTCCGACGACTCCTTACGGAACGTCTGCGATCGACATGCTTCCTCAGTCAGAGGGAAGGAATGCAGGGAGCCGGCGCCGGACTGTGGAATGTCACCGATAGACATAAATTCCACCCTCGGGTCCGTAAGGCTTCAACCGATGAGAATCATGACATTTTAGCGCAGAAACGGTGTCCGACGACTCCTTACGGAACGTCTGCGATCGACATGCTTCCTCAGTCAGAGGGAAGGAATGCAGGGAGCCGGCGCCGGACTGTGGAATGTCACCGATAGACATAAATTCCACCCTCGGGTCCGTAAGGCTTCAAGCGGTGATAATCTTGGCATTTTAGCGCAGAAACAACATACGACTACTCCTTACGGAACGTTGGCGATAGACATAAATTCCACAGTCAGAGGGAAGGAATGCAGGGAGCCGGCGCCGGACTGTGGAATGTCACTGATAGACATAAATTCCACCCTCGGATCCGTAAGGCTTCAAGCGGTGAGAATCCTGGCATTTTAGCGCAGAAACAGCGTATGACGACTCCTTACGGAATGTGCGATAGACATAAATTCCACAGTCAGAGGGAAAGAATGCAGGGAGCCGGCGTTGGACTGTGGAATGTTACTGATAGACAAAAATTCCACCCTCGGGTCCGTAGGGCTTCATTCGGTGAGAATCCTGGCGTTTTAGCGCAGAAACAGCGTACGACTACTCCTTACGGAAAATTGGCGATTGACATAAATTCCACAGTCAGAGGGAAGGAATGCAAGGAGCCGGCGCCGGACTGTGGAATGTCACTGATAGACATAAATCCCACCCTCGGGTCCGTAAGGCTTCAAGCGGTGAGAATCCTGGCGTTTTAGCGCAGAAACAGCGTACGACGACTCCTTACGGAACGTTGGCGATAGACATAAATTCGAAAGCCAGAGGGAAGGAATGCAAGGAGCCGGCGCCGGACTGTGGAATGTTACTGATAGACATAAATTCCACCCTCGGGTCCGTAAGGCTTCAAGCGGTGAGAATCCTGGCGTTTTAGCGCAGAAACAGCGTACGACGACTCCTTACGGAACGTCGGCGATAGACATAAATTCCACAGTCAGAGGGAAGGAATGCAGGGAGCCGGCGCCGGACTGTGGAATGTCACTGATAGACATAAATTCCACCCTCGGATCCGTAATGCTTCAAGCGGTGAGAATCCTGGCATTTTAGCGCAGAAACAGCGTAAGACGACTCCTTACGGAACGTTGGCGATAGACATAAATTCCACAGCCAGAGTAAAGGAATGGAGGGAGCCAGCGCCGGACTATGGAATGTCACTGATAGACATAAATTCCACCGTCGGGTGCGTAAGGCTTCAAGCGGTGAGAATCCTGGCATTTTAACGCAGAAACAGCGTATGACGACTCCTTACGGAATGTGCGATAGACATAAATTCCACAGTCAGAGGGAAATAATGCAGGGAGCCGGCGTTGGACTGTGGAATGTCACCGATAGACATAAATTCCGCCCTCGGGTCCGTAAGGCTTCAAGCGGTGAGAATCCTGGCATTTTAACGCAGAAACAGCGTACGACGACTCCTTACGGAATGTGCGATAGACATAAATTCCCACAGTCAGAGGGAAGGAATGCAGGGAGCCGGCGTTAGACTGTGGAATGTTACTGATAGACATAAATTCCACCCTCGGATCCGTAAGGCTTCAAGCGGTGAGAATCCTGGCATTTTATCGCAGAAACAGCGTTCGACGACTCCTTACGGAACGTTGGCGATAGACATAAATTCCACAGCCAGAGGACAGAATTGCAGGGAGCCGGCGTTGGACTTTGGAATGTCACCGATAGACATAAATTCCGCCCTCGGGTCCGTAAGATTCAAGCGGTGAGAATTCTGGCATTTTAACGCAGAAACAGCGTACGACGACTCCTTACGGAATGTGCGATAGACAAAAATTTCCACAGTCAGAGGGAAAGAATGCAGGGAGCCGGCGTTGGACTGTGGAATGTTACTTTCAGACAAAAATACCAACCTCGGGTCCGTAAGGCTTCAAGCGGTGAGAATCTTGGAATTTTAGCGCAGAAACAGCGTACGACTACTCCTTACGGAACATTGGCTATAGACATAAATTCCACGGTCAGAGGGAAGGAATGCAGGGAGCCGGCGCCAGACTGTGGAATGTAACTGATAGACATAAATTCCTTCCTCGGGTCCGTAAGGCTTCAAGCGGTGAGAATCCTGGCGTTTTAGCGCAGAAACAGCGTACGACGACTCCTTACGGATTGTGCGATAGACATAAATTCCACAGTTCGAGGGAAGGAATGCAGGGAGCCGGCACCGGACTGTGGAATGTCACGGATAGACATAAATTCCGCCCTAGGGTCCGTAAGGCTTCAAGCGGTGAGAATCCTGGCATTTTAGCGCAGAAAAAGCGTACGACGACTCCTTACGGAACGTCGGCGATAGACATAAATTCCACAGTCAGAGGGAAGGAATGCAGGGAGCCGGCGCCGGACTGTGGAATGTTACTGATAGACATAAATTCCACCCTCGGATCCGTACGACGACTCCTTACGGAACGTTGGCGATAGACATAAATTCCACAGTGAGAGGGGAAGGAATGCAGGGAGCCGGCGGCGGACTGTGGAATGTCACGATGGACATAAAATCCACCCTCGGGTCCGTAAGGCTTCAAGCGGTGAGAATCCTGGCATTTTTGCGCAGAAACAGCGTATGACGACTCCTTACGGAACGTTTGCGATAGACATAAATTCCACAGCCAGAGGGCAGAAATGCAGGGAGCCGGCACCGGACTGTGGAATGTCACCGATAGACATAAATTCCACCCTCGGGTCCGTAAGGCTTCAAGCAGTGAGAATCCTGGCATTTTAGCGCAGAAACAGCGTACGACGGCTCCTTACGGAACGTCGGCGATAGACATAAATTCCACAGTCAGAGGGAAGGAATGCAGGGAGCCGGCGCCGGACTGTGGAATGTCACTGATAGACATAAATTCCACCCTCGGGTCCGATGGGCTTCAAGCGGTGAGAATCCTGGCGTTTTAGCGCAGAAACAGCGTACGACGACTCCTTACGGAACGTTGGCGATAGACATAAATTCCACAGTCAGAGGGAAGGAATGCAGGGAGCCAGCGCCGGACTGTGGAATGTCACTGATAGACATAAATTCCACCGTCGTGTCCGTAAGGCTTCAAGCAGTGAGAGTCCTGGCATTTCAGCGCAGAAACAGCGTACGACTACTCCTAACGGAACGTCGGCGATATACATAAATTCCACAGTCAGAGGGGAGGAATGCAGGGAGCCAGCGCCGGACTGTGGAATGTCACTGATAGACATAAATTCCACCCCTGGGGTCTGTAAGGCTTCAAGCGGTGAGAATCCTGGCGTTTTAGCGCAGAAACAGCGTACGACGACTCGTTACGGAACGTTGGCGATACACATAAATTCCAAAGCCAGAGGGAAGGAATGCAGGGAGCCGGCACCGGACTGTGGAATGTCACCGATAGACATAAATCCCGCCCTCGGGTCCGTAAGGCTTCAAGCGGTGAGTGTCCTGGCATTTCAGCGCAGAAACAGCGTACGACTACTCCTAACGGAACGTCGGCGATATACATAAATTCCACAGTCAGAGGGAAAGAATGCAGGGAGCCTGCGTCGGACTGTGGAATGTTACTGATAGACAAAAATTCCACCCTTGGGTCCGTAAAGCTTCAAGCGGTGAGAATCTTGGCATTTTAGCGCAGAAACAGCGTAGACAACTCCTGACGGAACGTTGGCTGTTGAATCTCAGAAAAAATAGAAATAATTAAGAAGAAACGACACTTTTATTGAGGACCATTCACCAAGAATATACCAAGAAAAAACATAAGAAAAGCATAACCTCTCTAGATCTAAAATTTTATCAACAGCTGTTTTTTAGCAAGTATTAAACTTAACATTGGCGATAGACATAAAATCCACAGTCAGAGGGAAGGAATGCAGGGAGCCGGCGCCGGACTGTGGAATGTCACCGATAGACATAAATTCCACCCTCGGGTCCGAAAGGCTTAAAGCGGTGAGAATCCTGGCATTTTAGCGCAGAAACAGCGTACGACGACTCCTTACGGAACGTCGGCGATAGACATAAATTCCACAACCTGAGGGAAGGAATGCAGGGAGCCGGCGTCGGACTGTTGAATGTTACTGATAGACAGAAACTCCACCCTCGGGTCCGTAAGGCTTCAAGCGGTGAGAATCCTGGCGTTTTAGCGCAGAAACAGCGTACTACGACTCCTTACGGAACGTTGGCGATAGACATAAATTCCAGAGTCAGAGGGAAGGAATGCAGGAAGCCAGCGCCGGACTGAGGAATGTCGCTGATAGACATAAATTCCACCCTCGGGTCCGTAAGGCTTTACGCGGTGAGAATCCTGGCATTTTAGCGCGGAAAGGGCGTACGACGACTCCTTACGCAACGTCGGCGATAGACATAAATACCACAGCCCGAGGGAAGGAATGCAGGGAGCCAGCGCCGGATTGTGGAATGTCACTGATAGACATGAATTCCACCCTCGGGTCCGAAAGGCTTAAAGCGGTGAGAATCCTGGCATTTTAGCGCAGAAACAGCGTATGACGACTCCTTACGGAACGTCGGCGATAGACATAAATTCCACAACCTGAGGGAAGGAATGCAGGGAGCCGGCGTCGGACTGTTGAATGTTACTGATAGACAGAAACTCCACCCTCGGGTCCGTAAGGCTTCAAGCGGTGAGAATCCTGGCGTTTTAGCGCAGAAACAGCGTACTACGACTCCTTACGGAACGTTGGCGATAGACATAAATTCCAGAGTCAGAGGGAAGGAATGCAGGAAGCCAGCGCCGGACTGAGGAATGTCGCTGATAGACATAAATTCCACCGTCGGGTCCGTAAGGCTTCAAGCGGTGAGAGTCCTGGCATTTCAGCGCAGAAACAGCGTACGACGACTCCTTACGGAACGTTGGCGATGGACATAAATTCCACAGTCACAGGGGAGGAATGCAGGGAGCCGGCGCCGGATTAAGGAATGTCACTGATAGACATAAATTTATAGCCATAATCCCCTAAATCGGTTACAGCATGTTCAAAAGCACGGAAAATTTTTTGGGTCAATCGGACAAAATTAAACCTACCTACTCGCATCTGCCATTTATCCCCACAAAAATTGCGAATTTTTTCTGTTTTTCAGTAATTTTTCGCTCCCAAACATTAAAGTCGGAGGGATGGCAATTTAAATAGAGGGCAAAATTAGTTCATAAATTACACGCTAGTGAAGTTTTGGACCCCCTCCCTGCTTTTGACCTGACGCGCGGTTGCCATTTTCACGCATGAAAATATCGAATTTTGTATTGTTTTTGATGATTTTTCCCTCTCGATAAATTAACGTTATAGATGCCTAAATTGTAATCAGAGTGTGAAATTAGTAGCTAAGATGCTTCCAATGCTCCCCTTCTGATAATTTTGACACGCTGCGACGTTGCCATTTTTCTGAGCAAAATAGTGAATTTCGGCTCATTTCAATATCATCTCTCACGGCCTAAAAAAAAACTCAGGAGCCATCGAAAAAGTGCGCTGAAACACGGTGATTATACCATGAGTATCAATTTTGAAAATTTGGACCCTGTAAAATGTTTTACTCGGCGTGTAGCTCCCACTTGGCAAACAGTGGTTGACGGTAATTATCAATTTTCATACGTTAATGCGCCTTCAATTACATTGGATACTGTGCAATACTTTCGTGGTGGAATAGTTGCATTGGCACCTACAAACCTAACAGGGATACTTCACTCATTGCGCAATGCATGCAGTATCCCTGTTAGGTTTGTAGGCGCCAATACAACTATTCCACCACGAAAGTATTGCACGGTATCAAATGTAATTGAAGGCGCACTTACTTATGAAACTTGACTGTCACCGTCATGGTGTCAGGGGGTATTTTTAACGAGGAACTTGAATCTCAACTCAAATTTTTAACATTCAAAAATCCAAAATTACTGGAATTGCCAAAAATGTTATCTTGAGACTTTCAAAATCTAAGACGGTTGATTGCCTGACCGGTCAGGCAGTGAGGTAACTTCACGCCGAGTAAACCATTTTACAGGATCCACATTTTCAAAAAAGGTACTCATGGTATAATCACCGTGTTTTAGCGCACTTTTTCGATGGCTCCTGAGTTTTTTTTTTTTTTTTTTAGGTCTAGAGAGATGATATTGAAATAAGTGGAAATTCACAATTTTGCTCAGAAAAATGGCAACGTCGCAGCGTGTCAAAATTATCAGAAGGGGAGCATTGGGAGCATCTTAGCTACTAATTTCACACTCTGATTACAATTTAAGCATCTGTAACGTTAATTTACCGAGAGGGAGAAATCATCAAAAACAGTCAAAAATTCGCTATTTTCATGCGTGAAAATGGCAACCGCGCGTCGGGTCAAAAGCATAGAGGGGGTCCAAAACTTCACCAGGGTGTAGTTTATGAACTACTTTTGCCCTCTGTTTAATGTGCAGACCCCTCCGACTTTATTTTTTGGGAGCGAAAAATTACTGAAAAACAGTAAAAATTCGCTATTTTTTCGGGGATAAATGGCTAATATGCGTCGGGTTAATTTTGTCCGATTGACCCCAAATTTCATTTTCCGTGTTTTTGAACATGCTGTAACCGATTTAGGGGGTTATGGCTATAAATTTTCGAAATTCATTTTTTGTGGGCCACCCTAATAGGGATGGCTGCATCTCATCCACTTTTTTTTCTTTTCGTCTCTATCGCCCAGCCATCACCTATAAAATTAATGACAAGACTTGCAACTGATAGCTCCACTGATTATAGCCAGCCAATAGCGTATATAAACGTGCTGTCTCGCCGCTCGTGACGTCATCAAGTTTACAAAAGTGTGTGCTGCCCCTTTCTCATGGTCTTTTTCTACCTGACCCATGCCTGGCATACATGCCGCTTCTCGCCCTTCTGGCATAAGTGTGACTTTCTTTGTAAAACTGTAATTATTCCAAATTCGTTCGATAGACAAACTTTTTGGCCTCGTAACGCTTATGTTCAATATCTGCTCTCCCACATCATCGCTGTTTCTAGTGCGCGTTTTAAGAATTTTTAGATGTTCTAGTCCATTTAACACTCAACCAATCCTACAAACGTGACAATCGTCTTTATTTGCAGTATGATCTATTTGCACGAAGTTCTCGATTTATATCGAAAAAAAAATATGATACCTTTTTTTTATTGTTTGAATTTTGGTTACTTTCTCAACGAGAAATATAAACGATTATTTTACATTATGAGGTAGTGTTACAGAATGCCTCGACAGCTTAGAGGCATTTTTTCTTAACTTATTGTCAATGATGATGGGTAGATGTGATGATTATGCGTTTGATGATGGGAAATGTGTGGGTGGAATGGGATGAGTGAGCTTTACAGTGTACAAACGAACATAAAGATTAGATGATTTAAAAAGCAGAAATCAGAGGCATATGCTGTTGTCAACTCCCAAGGCAATTTGATACCTGAAATTAGATTTGAAGAAGAGATATCTGTAGACAAAAAAAAAAAAACTGGAAAAAAAACCACTTTAACACTTAAAAGGTTTTTGTAGAGGTTCCAATGCCCGAGTTGTTTTCTGAAATTGCTTCAAAATATTTTTTAAATATCTCTACAAAATTTGTTTTTTGTAGATCAAATTTTTTTTTTTTTGAATATTTATTAAGCACATCTTTGTTGTTACAAATTTAGCACTGTTACTTTATAATGAAGAATATATATCTTAGAGTTAGTTAACTAATGAAATGCTGTGGAGGTGAAGAAAATGAGTATATGAGAACTAGTAGATCAAAATAAAACGCTTTTAAAACAAACTTGTTTCTCAATACATTCTAGTAGGGATGTGTGCTCACTAGCGTGTTTTTATGTCAGACGACGGGGAAAAGTTTTGAGAACACATAAAGTTTGTCACATACCGAGCGACTGGAAGACGGTGACACCGCCGTTGGGAGGAACCCTCTCGGTGCCATTTATCACAGCCCCGACCTCAGTGAATTTGATTCCGGCCTCATGCAAGCTTTTCAGCTCTTGCTTTGCTCCATCAAGACTGTCGACAAAGACGGAAGCCTTCCGATACGTGTTCTCGTCCAGCTCCGAGTGGTGACTCACCCCAAAACCGACCGCTAGAAATCGTGAAATAAAAATTCAAAGCTCAGTATCAATGAAAGGCCGTAGTTCTGGTGCATTTCGACATTCAAACAAATTGAAGTTCTGACGTAATACCCAGTATAATTGGATTGCATTTTGCAAAAAGGAACCACTAGCATTGCAATGTTGCTAAGATTCTGCAACCTCTTTTGTCTTGGAGGAAAACCCCGATTTTCCATTAATAGTTTCTATTTTACTCGCTAAAAACTGTGAGTTTAAGACAAAAATTACCATCTAAATTTCATAGTTTTTCACGATTTCCGCAATTTTATTGCAAAGGATGAAGTTGCACAATCTTAGCATCATTGCAATGTTAGTGGTTCCTTTTTGCAAAATGCAATCCAATTAATCACACGAGTAAGGATTCTGACTTCTCAAATTTCAATTTTAAACCATGGTCAGCTCGAAAAATCTATCGGGCCAATTTTCATGATTTTTGTGGCTGTCGGCAGTTAGTAGCTTATAAATGGGCCCGCTTTCATTGAATTTTTAAAATGTGGGCTAACTATTGAAAAAGATAGACAAAGCTATAGAAAAAAAAGACATAGGAAGTATGGAGAGATCCTGCTGGTTGAAGTACGTGGTTCCTATACTATGGGAGAAAATTATGGACTAACCATAGGGTCTCTCAAGGGTTGCCTATAATTAGTCTACCTCCTTTGTCCATTGCAACCACCCGCCACCACCAATAGGATCCCTCCATATTCCTTTCGTCTTCTTTCTTTACAGCTCTTTTCTTAGCTTTGTCAATCATGAGAAGCAACCTTAGGAACGCGCGAATTATCGGCGGTGTAAGTCCGCAACAACGTATCTTAGCTTGCGACGTCGCAGACTTCCTGCTATACTTTATTTTTCAAATGGAAAACTACTCAGGGGAAATTCTCAAAAACTCCCGTGATTTTTCTTCTCAGTGCGAAGAAAATTCTGCATAAACTTCAAGGAATGATGTCAATTCGTTCTCCGTTAAAAAAATGAAATAGAAGCGGATATTTTCAAACACCGCAAACGAGATACGTCGTTACGGACTAACGCCGTCGTTATGGGGGTTCGGCCCAGTGGCGAGGCGTGAATAATCGATTATCGATATTTAACCATTTGAGCCGTGGTAAAGAATCGAGTATTAGGGTGTTTGCTGCGAACACCCTAATAATCAATCCTTTTCCATGGGTTTAAATGATAGATCAATCCATATATCGCAAAGCACGCAACGCCACTGGTTCGGCCGCATGGCGACCGGGGAACGTGTCCCCAAATATAGCTATTTACGTTATTATAAAGTTAGACTCAGTGTAAATATTAGTAAACAACATGAGTAAATATACAAACTTGAACATTGGTATATTGCGGGAGTTTTATAAAAGTACTTGCGAGCCATATAAGGCGCGTAAAAACATCAAACTTATTTCCGCGAGAAAAGCTAGACAGCCTTCATTCCATTTGTATGCAACCTGCAAAGCTATGAAGCGATGAAGCAGCATCCAAGCCAAGAAAATATGAGTCGCAAGCTCCGTTGCCTTTTAATTTTGTTTGTAACTCTGCAATCATCTACGAGAAGAGGATTCTTGATGCCCGGAGCCCATAAATCTGAAGTGGTATTTTTCTCTGGTTAGGTACTTTTTAGGTCTAGGTTTTTTATTTATCTATTTTTTTTTATTATTTTTTTTTTTTAAATAGGAACTGTGGCGTTGTTAAGTGGCTATAGAAAAGTCCACTCCCGAACTCATATAAGTTCAATCCACTCTGCCTGCAGTGGCTATTCTAGCAAGTTGGCAACACTGTAAATACTCCATTCAAATCCATTAAAAATACCGATTCTACGTGAGACAGGCTCTGTGTTGAGACAGGCATGAGCACACTGGCTGTAGAATTGGTCTTACATTTTTCAATTAAGAACTATTAATTATTATTCAGTGCAGATTCGTTCCATGGTCCTTTATGCAGGGTGAAGTCCAATTATCATAACTTTGGGCTAAAAATTACCCACGTAACATCTGATGTACTTAAACTGCACAATGAATTGGACTGGTTACAAATCTAGATTCTCCTAAAGTCATAACTTGCTGCCACCAGTATCATATTAATTTCGGTAGCTTTTTATGAGTTCGGGAGAGAATTCATGACAACACGCGAGAGGTACCATTCTGTCCTCTCCTCAAGTAGCTACTTTGATCAAAGATTAATCTATTGAATTGCAAATCCATCACTCTTGTATGAGCTCTATTGTAAGTCCATTTAAAATGCTACATTGATCGTGTTTTAAAATCAGTATGTTTTGTAGATCTTTAAAATCTCAAATTTTGAACACAAAAATTGCGAATTTCACAGTTAGATGTCTTTTAGCCACCATCATGGACTGCGCAGTGTTGTTGCATGCCTCTTTTGGCCGCTGGAAATAAAAAAAAAATGATTTTTCATACCATTTATATGAGCGTCCGACTTGAGCCAGTCGTAGTGAACCACGGGGGTGGGCGAGTAGGTGGCAGTCACGATTAAATCAGCGGGTTTAACGCACTCCTCTTTGTCCGCAAACGGTTTTGCGATGTCACCCAAGCGTTTGCAGAGGGCTTCAGCTCCCGCAAATCGGTGGTTCCAAATTCTAATCTGCAATAAAAGGAATATCGACAGTGTAAGCCGGCAATCACATAACTCGGTTTTAGCGACATCGCAGACTTCCTGTCATTCTTTATTTTTTAAACGGAAAACTACTCAACGGCAATCCTTTAAAACTGCCGTGATTTTTCTTCTCTGTGCGAGGAAAATTCTGCAAAAACTTCAAGGAATGATTTCAATTAGTTCTCTTTTAAAAAAATAACATGTAGGCGGAGATTTTCAGACACTGCAAACGAGTTATGTTATTGCCGACTTACACCGTCGATATATATTTAGCCTGTTCAAATGGATCAGTGGATCACTGGACAAGGCCTCCTATGCATATTTACTCTTCAAAATATTACGTAGAAAGCGAATCTCACGCACAGCGAGATGTTTGGAAGTCAACTCCTGAGCGATGTATGAACAAGTATTTTTAATGAAAATCATATGGATTGCATTTTGCAAAAAGGAACCACTAGCATTGCAATGTTGCTAAGATTGTGCAACTTCTTTTGTCTTGGAGGCAAAACCCGATTATCCATTAATAGTTTCTATTTTACTCGCTAAAAACTGTAAATTTAAGACAAAAATTACCATCCAAATTTCATAGTTTTTCACGATTCCCGCAATTTTATTGCAAAAGATGAAGTTGCACAATCTTAGCATCATTGCAATGCTAGTGGTTCCTTTTTGCAAAATGCAATACATATAGATGTCAAATTATGCTAATGGCCTCGCATTTTTTTTGCCATTTGATTAATATTTAAATGATATCAAACACTCGTATAGGTGTTGATTTCTAACAGTGCCGTGGCGTGCTTTGGGATCGATCGATATTTCCCCATTTGAAGCTGTGATAAATAATCGATTATTAAGGTGTTCGCTGCGAACACCCTGTTCGTCGATACTTTTCCATAGGTTTAAATGACCAATCAAACGATATAACGCAAAGCACGCCACGCCTCTGATTTCTAAATTTTTCGTTGTTTGATTCGTTTTACTTGCGATAAAGAGAACGTACATTGCGTAGTGCCGATTCCTACCTTGTCTAGAGGTCTATTGTAGTCATCATAATTTAGCACCAAGAGCTGCCAAACAGGGATCTAAAATTGTCTCCGAATAATTTTAAGCGCGGATGTTAAAAGTCAAAGGTGCATCTTATTGTACATAGATCCTCTTTTTCAGACTTGCATAAAACTTGCTTTTTCGATGTATTGTTTAGACCATGATTTGCGGAGAACTTATAAGATAAAGTTTGCCAATTATAGCTCTTGCGCTTAAGCCCTGCATAGACGATCAAATTTCGAACCAACTCCGATCAAAGTAGACATGCTGATGACTGGTGGTCACCATCTACCATCAAATTTTGACGGGCCGCACTTTTTTGTTCAAAGTAAGATCAGAACGGAGTGCCACCATTCATCATTTCCTGTCACAGGAAACATTTCTGTCAAGTTTTCATTTTAAAATGAAGCAAATTAATGAGCTTAAGACTGATGACTCCCGACACTTTGATGCTACTTTGATCGGAATTGGTTCGGGAATTTGATCGTCTATCGAGGCCTTTACATCCGAGGCCGGATTTTGTCGGCTCTTTCACACGGAGTGCAACATCCATCGATGAGTTCAAACCGCACCACCGGCCAATCAGAAGCGCTAAGCCGGACTTAAGTGCAGTCGAGACTTGTCCTAAGTATATTTAAGTACGGTGGAAGAACCGACAAAATTCAGCCCCCGGAAGAACTCGCCGGTCTGCCAATCCCTAAGTATAAAACTCTATGTTTTTCCTTAAATCTTCATCTTAAACGGTGCGAAATTGTTTTTTGGTGCCCTTTTTCTCAGCCTTAGGTCCTCACTCTCTGCGGCAACGTCAACATTGGTCCAACGATGCTCCAAAACTCTGACATGACGTTCTTAGGTTATGCATTTATTGCGCCACACCATCTCGTTGATACGTTGAGTGCCTGGTCTTCCACTATGATTTTACTTTTATCAGTTCATTTACCTCTTTAATGCTGAAATAAGACATGAAAGCTTGAGCGTGGATATGAGCTTGAACTCCAGAGCCCATGATGGCAAGGACGAGATCTTTATCCTTAATTCTTCTGAAGAGATTTTTGGTGGCAGCGACGGAAGCTGCTGCAGTTCGCCACGTTGTTATTTCTGTGCCCTCCATGATCTGTAGCAAAAATATTGACGACAAAATTTCGATCGAACCCAATCAATAAACGGAACTATAACACAAAACCATTATTAATTTACCTATTTTTATTTTTTTAAATTAAAATAAATCATGATGAACGTCATTGACTGACATAATCAGCTCGAATAATAGTTATTTACCTTGAAATTGGGGAGAAGGCTAATCATAAAAGAAGCGAATTGTTCCTCAAGAATGGCATTCAGATGAAAGGGTACGCCTGTTTATTAGCATTTCATACTTCGGAGTTAAACATTTTCTGTTTTTTAGTTCGTTTTTCCGATGAGACCAATTCTGTGAATTTTTGCTATGGAAGCTGAAAATAACTTTCATTTTTGCTCGCCATGCTCCAATTTTCCGGGAGACTGAATTTTCCCCAGGAAACCCATTTCATGTGTAAAATCCCTCCATAATACATAAAAAGTTTAAGTTATGTATAAAAGGCATGACCCGTTTGTAGTTTTGACGTGTAGTAGATCTACTGATTTGCCCTCCGGATACATCTGAAGTAATTTTTCGAAGCTTCACTGTCTGTAGCCTCAGATACCATCGATATAAAAATGTTTAACGTGAAAATCGGCTCGGAAAAAAAAAACCGCAGAGCAAACGCTATATAAATTATTTTAATCATTCCTTTTTAGATGGCTTGGTCCACATCCTGTTTGTCCAGATATCCGCAGGAGCGCAGCTTTCCACAAACTGCGATTTTCAGTGGACAATTTTCTCATGAAAAAATTATTGGACTCAGAGTGATAAGAATACCAACCACAAAACTGCAACCAACTTTTGATAACTCATCGTCGATTCAAAAAAAAAAAAATAAAAAAAAAAATTCGGACACACAAATCAGTCGCTAGAGCAACCACAAAACCATGGTGCATCCTTTAGATAGTGTAAAATGCTGATATTGACGGCGGTGATGACAGATCTCTACACAATTTGATCTAACCTCTGCTTCCGTATGAGATTACAAGATACAACTCTTCTCTCAGAAGTACATAATTAGCGTAATTTTAATGGATCCCACTTTACAAAAGTAGGAGATGAATCAATTTTAATCGTCACGAACAACTGAGATAACATACGAAGGAAGTTGGTAAAAAAAACATTATAACGTTTTTGGCCCAATAATTTCCGGAAAACTATCATTATGTGTTTTATTCTCATGAACTGATCGGTTTAAAGTTTGAAAACTACGCCTACGGTACTTTTAGCTGCAATCTATATGCTATAATTAAAGAATGTTCCTCACAGACCAATTTCCGGCGAAATATTTTTCTAGGTTTTTGAAGAAACTAATAAAAACCGATACAATTTAGTTTTTACAGGTTGCAAGAATCAAGTTGGTGTTAATTTATTTTCGGACTTTTTAAAGAAGAATCTAGGTACTAGTTTTTTTTGTTTTGTTTTTTATTCCCATTCTAGTAAAAAAAGTCGATCGACAGAAATTCGTTTTATCGAGGGAAAGATGAATGGAACCAAGGGAGGAAGGATAATGCTCGGCGGAAATATCCGAAAAATTTGGTTCAGACATTATTTCAAAAGTTGGAAATCAAAAAATCCATGAAACCTAAAATTTCGTTAAGCAATTAGGTATAGCGGCATTTTTTTAGTAAAAGGTTTGAGATGCGATACCTAGTTTCTATACATAGGCACTCTGTCATTCGGATGCTACTACTAACAACAACTTCCATGCATGCATTTTTTTCGAGGTGAGAAAAGCGAAAGTGCCTTCAATTTTGAAAATACAACATGCAGATTCGTGGAACACGAATAGTTGCATGGAGGCGCTGGGACCAACTCACAATCAGCGTAGTATTTGTAGGGCGAGATAATCACAGCTTTAAATTGGTCATTCTGAAAAATACCCAACCGCCAGAAATTCTGATACGAGAAAAATTAAAACGGTTCGATCTATTAAAAGCCTCTGATATTTTTCGGTGCGTGAGAATGCGTGAGGTATCACGCCGCATTTGAAGGCGTTTTCAAAACAGCCAAGTTCCGCTATCCGGATTATTGTTTTGCATAGTTCCTATTGTTATGTTTTATTTCCTACCATTTGTTTGTTTTCAATCCTCCTATAAAAACTACTCTTTTGCTGAATAGACATCTGGCTGGAGCGCATTTTAGCTATGCATTCACCACTGCAAAAATGTCAAAGGAAATCGACAAAGCCAGCGTGTATAAGGCTATTTCGATTGTAATCTTCCGTCGCATTTCTAAGGCGCAATGATACAACTATTTGAACTCTCCGGAATGCGTGAGGTATCACGCCGCATTTGAAGGCGTTTTCAAAACAGCCAAATTCCGATATCTGGATTATCGTTTTGCATAGTTCATATTCTTTTGTTTTCATTTCTAACCACTTGTTTATTTATAATCCATTAATCCTCCTATAAAAATTACCCATTTGCTAAATACAATTCTAGCTGGAGCGCTCGTCCGCTATGCATTCACCACTGCAAAAATGTCAAAGGAAATCGACAAGTCCAGCGTGCATGAAGGCTATTATTTGCAACAGCTAAAAATCAAGAGTGCTACAACTGATTAGTCCCGTGAATCTCTAAGGAAACGAGAGAAGCGCCTTCAATGAACATACAACACGCATATTTGTGGAACACGTATAGTGGCACCAAAGGCGTCACAGTCAACTCAGTCTAGAGATTGTAAAGCGGAAGTGCAACCAATTTTCCCGATATACAACTAGCACTTTCAAGATACTGAACATATAAGGAAAATTAAAAAAAAAAAAAAATGTGAATTCGTATTCAGAACTTTAGATAAATATGAAAAAAAGTCTTAAAATTTGTTCAAAACCTGTATTTATTTATTATTTTTCTTTTTTTAGGTTTAATGGCTAATACCAAACCTAACCTGTAAATTGTTTTGATACTTTTGATTTTCGTGTCGAATAAGTCATCAGAAATCGGTCATTGGTGGACATTCGTTGAATAGCCTATTGATTTAAAATTAACATTTGGTCCGTTGGCTGTGTTTTTCTACTTTTTACAGGCCAGTCCACGAACCAGTTATCAAGTTCACGGAATGGGCAACAACATCTACCAATTCGCGGCTTGGGCAGTGGGAATGACCTGTCCACGGACGGGACAAAAAAGTTACCCAAACTCCGAACTGAGAAAAGCCAACGATGAAAGTTGCACTACAAAATAAAATAATGAATTGTTATTCATTGCAGTATCCTCAAACATGTGTAGCTTACCATTTTTGTTCCTCCGTTGCTTCCATCAAATAAAATGACAGTTGCCAGAATTGACGGCAACCCAAGAGCAGCGTTATTTCTGAAACTGGTCACTACTTTGCAAGCTAGTACGTTATCTTCAGCTAGGTATGCTGGCATGCACAAGAGTGCGCTACAAAAACAAAAAATACAACCACCAGGAGCATTAGTAAATTAGAAATGTTGCGAGAAATTCCTCCTACCAACACCCTTTACAAGGGTAGATGTACGAAGTATTTTTCAGATCACACGTACCAAGCTTTTTTCCCGGTTGTTTTAGTGCGTACGAAGTCACGAACCCCAAGGAGCCCAAAAATGGTCCCGAAGCCGCGAAACCCCCCTTAAGAGGTAAACAGGGGGTTCGGCTTCTAAAAAGTGGCCCCCCGTTTAACCTCCGAGGGGGATCAGGGGGTTTCAGGACCATGTAATTCGAATTCCGTTACTTAAGATGCCATCTATTTCCGTAGAATCTACGTCAATTTTGCGACCAAAAAGTTTGTGGAGGGGACATGACACCGTCTCCCTCTTTAGGGGGTCATTTTTTTGGCCTACGGATTGCCGATTCCGGATTTGTAGGCGTCAATTAATTTTGAAATTGCATTTTTCATGTCTGATGCAATTTTATCTCAATTCGGCTAGGAACCGTGATTTTTAGGATCATACCACTCTTCCCCCCCCCTCCCTCCATGGGGGCGGGGGTGGTTCGAGACCATGTAATCTGGAATCCTTGGTGTCGATTCCTTATTCAACCCTGTGGTTCCTGACCTCGTGCGACCTAAAAAAACCGAGATAAAAGCCTGGTATGGGTCGATTTTCAATGTGCGCGCAACTAGTGGACTCCCCGCTTATTTGAAAATTGGCGCGTCAATTTGTATAATTTGCCAAGCGCGGTATGGAATTGGCGGGAACCAATGGGAGTGGAAGTTTTGACTTGTATACATTCGCGTTCTTTTGATAAGTACCAAGTTGGTTGTAAACAAACGTGAAACGTGGTTCTTCATCTTCGATTCGTGAGTGTTGTAAGTCCTTTAAGTATCCAAAATTCTCGAAGTTCTTGATTTTGAAGCATCTATTATTTGCCTGTCTTAACCGCATCCCTCCAAACAATTTTGCATTCGGTGCTCCCACGTTCCAGATCCATTTCAAGTCAATGCCTCCAAGTGTGCTCTCAAACTAACTGTAAGTTATTATCACTATAAAAGTTTATTTTTTCCTCCTCGCAGTTCCACTAGATCTGCACTGTTCAAAATTATTGAGGCTTTCAAATTTCAGGAAACTTCAAACCTTCGTTTTTGGTTTGTTCATCGACTTATTGATTATTTATCACCAGGGATTCACTTATCATGTTGTGGTTTAGTGCCTACTCCCAATGCTTGTTAGTGACAGCTTCTCACCGGTTTATCTATATTCTTAGTCTGAAGAGGGTATTCACAGCTGAGATACAAAATACTTTTTGCCTAAAAATAAGACGGAGGAAGGTCTCAGTCGAACCCAGAGTCTGATCTATTGAGAAGTGTCAATCGGGGGCTGGGCAAAGTTCGGATTTTCCTACGATGATCATGCCCTAAAAATGGTTGATTTCATGCCTCTAGTACCTATTGCAGATTCGTATTTTTTCTTCAAGGATTGATAACGGGACAGAATAAATTTTCCTTGAAGCCTCGTAGCCTAGGCACTTATTGTTAGAGAATGAGAACGGAGGTTGATCTGACGACAGACGGGCAGGAAAGACTAAGGTGCATCAAGGCTGTCATGGGCATTCACATTAAATATCAAAAATGATGAATCTATAACCCTCTCTCAGTGAAACATATTTTTTCCCCTTTTGCTCACTACACTGCAGCAAAAATTAATCGTCGCTGGTAAGACCCACAATAGTCGGTTCTAGACTAGGTACTTCTCATCTTTCCTTGTATGCGCAAGATAGGGAATGTTTAGGAGAATAGAGGTTAGGGGAGCTAGGAGACTATGAAATTCGAAATACCAGGTGTCAAGTAGTCCCAATACCACCTTTTTCAAGAGAATATCTGTGTCAATTTTGGACTTAAGAACAGTTTCTGTAGGAGGCACCGCGCTCCTCTTGAGATGGCAAGTTTTAGGCGTCAAGTGGGTCAATTTTAACTCATGAGGGTCATTGAGGTTTAAATGTATCATGCTTTTCAATTTTGATGCAATCAATTTACGATTCTGAAGGGAGCCCTAACTTTTAAAATTGAGCCTCCCCCACCCCCCGTTTACCATCCAAGGGGGGCTATAGGGGCCTCAGGACCATGAAATTTTGCATTGCTGAATGCATTGAGGTTGATTACTTGAATTGCATTTTGCATGAAGGAACCAAGAGCATTCTAATGTTGCTAAGATTGTGCAACTTTCTTTACCTTGCAAATATAAACTGATCATATAAACAAGTTCTATCTTTACTCTTGATAAACTATAAATTCAAGACGAAAATTACCTTTGTAAATTAAATTTTTTGCATGATCAGTAATATTACTGCAATGAATTTAAGTTGCACAATCCTAGCAACATTGCAATACTCTTGGTTTCTTTATGCATAATGCAATTCACTCAGAATATACATCATAATTGTGCGACCAAAGCAAAATATTTGGAGGGAGCCCCGCTAAATTCCTCCTTTTAAGACGGTAGTCTTTGGGCCTAGAGTGGACCAATTTCGGGTTTTTAAGCGTCAATTTAAATTTATATGTTCCGTGCTTTTCAAATCTTATACAATTGAATCGCAATTTAAGTGCAGCGCAGTGACTCGTCCTCTCGCAAAAAGTAACCGCTTATAGTAAACGTTTTGCGTTACTTAACTACTGCACGGGCGTGGTGTACTCAGCACGTTCACATGTTCGCCTTCATTGTGCATATGTAGGCAATTTCTCGACTTGGGTGCACGTTGATTTGTATCCTGTTTCACTGCGCTCCGCATCATTTATAAAAATAGCGCCAAAGTCAGCGCACGTGGCGTCTTTTCTACGTTCATAAATTCGCCTTCACTGTGCTCTAGATAGGCAATTTCTCGACTTAAGAGCACGTTATTTTTATCCTGTTTCGCAGTAATTTTTTCTGTCATTCTCATGATTCTTGATCTTAATCGCGGCGCGGTGCCTGTATCTCATCCTTGCTCTCTGACTTTTACGCTCAGCCGTTGGCGGGGCCAGCAAATTGGCAATATTGCTTTTTCTCCATTTAAACCTATTGGAATGTATCGATTCTCGGGGGGGGGGGGGGGAGGGGCAGGTGCCCCGGCGAGAATCGATTATTTAGTACAGGTTCGAATGTAGGAAAGCCAGTGTTCCCAAGTTGCTGGATTCGCCTCTGCGCTCAGCTCTATCGCCTCTTTATAAGAACGAAAAATAAAAACTTGAAATGCTGTTTTCGGAGATTTTATAGCTTGTAGATAGTAAATGGACCTGCAAACAAAGTGTGGATTTAAGCCATTTGTTACATGAAATCTGATCAAATTTTACGTGGAGCACGTTTCTCGCAACAAATACTACTAATATTATCCTCTAACCAAGATATCACCGTTTTTCGATGATTTCGATGCATTAATGTATACCCTCTGCTTTTGATGTAGAATAACGTGCTAATGACTCGCCTGACTGAATTTTTTGTCGCATAATTTTTAAACATCTTTTTTTATGCAACAGGCCCAATTCAGACGGTTTGAGTTCAGCAGCGGCGATTCTTCAAGTCGGCAAAACTGTTTTATATCCATTTAAATCCACTGGAATGTCGATTTTGAGTGAAACCAGCTGCGTCATCAAGAATCGATTGTTTCACATTTTAAATGGACTGCATTTTGCAATTTGGACCTATAAATTCTGGCTCATCTGAAAAAACACTTATGAGCATAGGGAAACTAATGGCACATACGTTGTTTTTGAACCGGGCCGGAATTTATAGGTCCAAATTTCAAAATGCAGTCCAAATGAAGGGAAAACAGTGTTTCCAACTTTCAAGACTCGCCACCGGGCTCCAGTTGCAGGACTCAAAATTTTTATAGTATTCTCATTATTCTTCAATGGCCTTTTTCTGTGGTACTGTCGTCTACATCAAAAACCCCGTAACTCCATTCTACGTTTTTTCAATTTTTCTCCTACGAAATGTTGTACATCACAGGAAAATCACAGAGCATTCACTCCTTATAACTTTAGAATAATCACGATATACCTCTGAAACCTCAAACTGTCAAAATGAAGCAAAATGACAATGAGGATTTATTGTAATAGAACAGTATGTATGAAAGAAAAATGAAAATATTGATTGGAGTTACGGCGCTTTTGCTGTGGACCAGTGGCGTGGCGTGAATTGCGATGTATCGATTGTTGTGCCATTTAAACCTATGGAAAAGGATCGATAAACAGGGTGTTCGCAGCGAACACCTAAATAATCGATTCTTTACCATAGATTTAAATGGCACAACAATCGATACATCGCAATTCACGCCACGCCACTGCTGTGGACGGCAGGGTAGTAAGCTCTTACACATACATCGGTTATTTTATGCGAAAATCGTCAGAATTTTGACTCCCACAACTAAGACGGATAGTGTTTTTGAAGGATGCATGCATAACAATAAGAACATTATTTGGATTGCATTTTGCAAAAAGGAACCACTAGCATTGCAATGTTGCTAAGATTGTGCAAATCCTTTTGTCTCGGAGGAAAAACCCGATTATCCATTAATAGTCTCTATTTTACTCGCTAAAACCTGTAAATTTAAGACAAAAATTACCATCTAAATTTTATAGTTTTTCACGATTTCCGCAATTTTATTGCAAAAGATGAAGTTGCACAAGCTTAGCATCATTGCAATGCTAGTGGTTCCTTTTTGCAAAATGCAATCTATTTTTGAAAACTAACGCATTCTGCTGTGAAATCGGCATAATGAGCCGTGGTGGCTGGATTACTGATTCGTTGTGACGAGATACATTTGCGAAGAGTGTCTCCGTAGCCGGGACCAAAGTGTTCCAGTGCAAATGTCGTTTCACCTCCTCATTGGTCAGAAATGGTGGTGGAGATGGGGTATCTCTGCTGCCTCCAGTGGTGTTTGATGAGTTACTTGTCACTTTACCGGTATCCGCCATAGCTCCTCGGGCCTTTCCTAGCGGAGTCTCACATATAAAATCTGTAACAATAGATGAGGATGAGACCTTTGGTTCACGATATTTTTTGCTATCATCGTGCTTAAAAATGAGAGCCAGTGGCGTGGCGTGCTTTGCGATATATCGATTGATTTTCCTTTTAAATCTATGGAAAAGGATCGATTATCAAGGTGTTCTCAGCGAACACCTTGATAATCGATTCTTTACTACAGCTTCACATGGAGAAATATCGATAATCGATCATTCACGCCACGCCACGGATGAGAGCGGGAAATTCATTTAGTTTCTCTTGTAAAATGGACGGATTTACCTAATCTGAGACAGTCAAGCTACATCGGACGCACCGCTGAATTTTCTCGTCCGTTTTATTTCTTAATAGGAAACTGAGCAGCAATGAGTATTAAGTGTGCCAACAGCAATTCCTCAACTATCAAAACGAATTTATCCACCTTTTGTCTCATATCTTTTTTGACGAGAATATAAACCATTTGGAGTCGTGTGCTTTTCATTCTAACACTTCAGAGACCTAATTTCGGGAAACAATTTTAGCGACACAGTTTATGAGTGTAGGGGCAAATTTTACGATCTTCAGCAATTATCACTACAAGTGTCCATCAATTTAATTTCCAGCTCGTCATTTGACTACAATTGAAGGACGAACTGAATGGATCACGCTCAGCGAAAAGGAACCAGCGCAATTACAATCGTATTGAAAAAATGTTGATTCTTCATAATTATCTAAGAAATCTCCCTGATTAGGACAGTGGTTTTACTTCCCACCCAGAATTTGTTAATTTTAAAGGAATAAAATAATTGTGTAAATTATAATACTGTGCATATATTGAGTATTTTTTTTTGAAAAAAAAGAAGTTGCACAATGGACCACTAGACAAGGTACGAATTTAAGCAATCTGATACATGTGTCTTAATCAGAATTTCACGTAAAACACGATTCACACAACGGGAATTACTGGAACCAACTCCTAACAAAGATATTAACGTTTGTATTTCACTTTGGCTACAAGGAATTCGAACTGCCCGCTCACAAGAAACTCAAAGCTCTATGCGAGTCAGATCGCGCACTACAACGGTTTCTGCAAGCCTCTCAATCGAGCAATGTTCATTTTCCACCATGTGTTGTTCAAACTATAAGCAATTTGCTACAGCGGAGCCAAAGCGTCAAGACTGAGGTTGCCAGATTTTACATAGCAAAGACTGTCATGTTAACGTTTAGCGCGCGATGTGAATCACGTAGAGCATTGAGTTTTAATGAGCGGGTGTTTTGAATTCACGCATCAAGAATCATCAAATAGCTTCGTAAGGAGTTAATTTCGGTAATTGTCTATGTGCGCATCGTGTTCTACGTGAAATTTTAGTTATGAAACATGTATCAGAACGCTGAAATTCGTACCTTGTCTAGTGGTCCATTTTGAAAATACTGTAATTGCGTTAGTTCCTTTTTGCTAAAGGCGATCCAGATTGCCTTGTCTAATCTTTCATTATTTTCTACTTTTGGTGTATATTCCGACGGAAATACAATATTTCATTTTCTAAAAATTGTTATAGACTAGGGGGTATGCTTCTTGACTGCTTCGTGCTCAATCCTCCAAAGTCTTTCGCGCCTCAGGTGTTTTGTGTCACGGGTTACTCTTACATGATTTTATATTTTTTTCAAAGATGTGACTTAAGATTAACTGCTGCCCAGTAACGTCATTATCTCAACGGCGCTCAAAAGTAGCTTTATGTGGTTTTGATTCCACATGTTTCAATTTAAGAAACAAATGAATTGAAAATAATTGTCGAGGTAAGACAGGTATTTACAATATCTCCGGCCAAAAGCAAGAATAGCAAAAAAATCAGGGTTATTGGCGCATACGCTTTTTCCGGAGTAAGAAACGAATTTTAAATTTTGATTTGTACCTACATCTGCGGCAGAAATCTTCTATTGGACTAAATTTTGCAATCGAAGGAACTACAATTTCTGGCTCACCCACAAAAGCTCCTATCTCCGTAGGGAAAATAGTGTCGAATACCTCGTTTCTTAATCGAGCCGGAAAGAGTAGGTCTTTATTGGAAAATGTGGTCCAATTGAACCAAGTTTAACTGAGACACACCAAGTCGCAGAAAGTGTGAACCAAGAAAAGGGTTTGAAGTTCAATTCCTCCGCGTATATCGATGTTAGGGACAAAGTTCAACAACTATTTTCTCGTTCCAAATAGTCGTTCTCAACTTGGAATTTTTAACAAGAGAAAATTTTTAATCAGCAGAATTCAACAGTGCTCCTTTGACTCATTTTCCTTCCAAATTTCGACTCCGTACTTTTCTGTTCAATGGGCCTGTTGCAAACTTTTGCTAGAGCAAAAATAAGAGTTGTTTCTTATAGATAATGCCTCAAAAATCACGATGAGCGCATCGGCAAACTCTGAAATGCACTCATAACTTCACAAACTGCGTAAGAAATTTGCGGTTTTTTGAGCTTCCCGCTTCAAAAACGATACTACGGCACAGGTGAACATTTTGTAAGAGGAGTCGTTCCATCGTCGGCAATAATCATCAAAGCCGACGCCAATCCGCCAAAACACGTTTGATGGGACGAGATAACACCTGAATTGGATTAGACCAGATAACAATCGGTGTGTTAACGTTCATATTTTCCACGCCCGAATGGATTGACCTTGAACTCTCCTTGAATTACGCGCGGAACTGCGTGCAAGCGTCGGCCATGATGAATATCGCCGACGATGGAGCGACTCCTCTAACAAAATGTTCACCTACGCCGTAGTATCGTTTTTGAAGCGGGAAGCTTAAAAAAACGCAAATTTCTTACGCAGATTGTGAAGTTATGAGTGCATTTCAGACTTTGCCGATGCGCTCATCGTGATTTTTGAGGCATTATCTACAAGAAACAACTCTTATTTTTGCTCTAGCAAAAGTTTGCAACAGGCCCATTCGGCTTGATTGTGCGATCACGCAGTGGCAATGGCACCAATTTTATCAAACTTTGCGCTCCTGCTAAATTTACACGATTCATCACGTTTCTGCAGCTTGAACACTCGTACTACGTTCAAGCAAAACATACCTAAAACATTTCAGCATGCGCCATTCATGAAGTATTTGCGATGAACACATCCTAAATTTTGTTTAGACACGAAAGCATAATAATTGACATTATGAAAGCGTTTGATTACCTACGAATTAAAGTAATTCCCGAGGAAGTTGAGCCGCAAAATGTTGTAAGGGGAGAACAAACACTGGAAAGACGTTAAAGAGCCGGGCGTATTCAAAACACTCTAGAGCGTAAACACGGTCACATGCGATGAGGTGAGGTGCGCGCACAGCTTTTGATAAGAGTGAAAGTTTCAGTCAGTAACCGTAGCTAGGTACCTCCGCACCGTGTGGCTATTACGTCAGTGTTTGTCTGTGCGAGGATCAGCTGATGCGGAGGGGGCATGGGGGGCGAGAACCCCATACGGTGGCGCTCCCGGCGGCCGAAAGACGAACCGCGGCCGAAGTGATGCGGTCATAAGGAATTATCGATCGGCGGGTTCCCGGATCGCCCGCTGCGCGACTCCAGCGCTGACTTCCGCCAGAAAGGAAGTGGTTTCGAGGCCTGGGACTGTGTCTAGAGATTAGGGCGGAAAAGTGCGACTTTCCTTTTTTCAGAACCGAAATTTTCTGTTCCAATTTCCTCAGTTTTTCTCGCCTGGATTTTTTACGCCGCCATACGCCCTCCGCAGTGTTCGCTTTTATATTTTTTTCCGTTTCGTAATTTTTTTTAGAAAAAAATTAAATCTCGCTGCCGTTCCAGTGTAGAGTGTTGATTCCTGCTTTTTCTGCTTTCCTCTTTTTTCCGCGGAAAATGTGTGAGTGTGTTTCCCGAAATGTGAGGAGTTAACGTTTCACCGAAGATTGATCGACCGCGAGAAGAGGTGAGTTAACTTAAAGTTCTGCCTTCTTAAAAAAGAACGTTCCGAACTTTTCGTGCCTTAAAATGTTACTGCACAACCCTCAACGGGTCCTCCCTTCTTGCGATAACGTCACAGCTTACGGCAGTATTCCTCGTCCTATATTTAGTTCATATTCCAACCTATTTGCTAATCGAAAGTTCTAGTAATGCAGTTATTTCACTCTAAATTATTCATAACTTTTTTTTTTATAAAAATCCCCTCCTTTTTTAATGCAATAAGCCTTTGACTCATTTTCCAAGCCCTTTTTCCGTTTTTAGTTTAACCAAAATTAAGCTTCCAGGGACTTTCGTAAATTTTTCTTGATATTCTCATGTAATGATTGCCCGAGACTCATTCAGTTATGCTTCATATCTCCCTAAAATTTGGAAAGAAATTGAAAATCGATTAGACATGTATCATACGGTTAACCTATTTTTCAGATGCTCCAATTAGTTCAAAACATGACCTCATCTGTCACTTGAAAAGCAGCCTCTGCTATTTTGCTTCGTCCACAGCTAAAACTTCTCAGAACTCCGAGATTGAACTAATATGATTTTTTAATTTTCATTTGCAAAGCAAGAAAAATCAAAAATCAAGTATCATATCTATAGAAGCACAAAATATTCTAACCTATTATCCTCTTTTACTCTAGTTGCTTTATCCTATTTTATACCTAGAGCATGAGGTAGGTCAATCAAACAGAGCTCTCACTGAACGCTTCCATCATTTATGAGAATAAGTTACTTATATTAGATAGATATTGGCTCTTACAGTTTTTCTGTTTGAGCGTTACCTACTTAGTTAAATGGCATCCGTCTATTTACCCCCATGACCTTTGTAGCTGCGACAAATGCATCAATATAATAATTTTGGTTCAAAACTAGGTGGGACGGACTAGGATATGTCAAAGTGACCAGATTATCAAAATTGAGTTGAAGCTGTCATTATCAAGTTACTGCACCCTTATTGTAAGACTCAAGAGATAGGCAGGGTCCATGGAATAGTTAATTGAAAAAATTACCGCTTTGAAGAGAACATTAATTCCATTTTTCAATTCTAAAACGACATTGGCAGTGAATAGAAAATTTGTCTTATCATTTTCATAAAATGCAAATTCACTGATATACAAATCTCTAAAATGTAGATCTATATTGCGATTTAAAAAAGTTCCACCTTAGTTCTATCTTTAAATACTGATAGTAAAACAAATGTTTCTCCTAAAGTTTCCCTTGATCTCGAAAAGTTGTGTTGTTTGTTGCTGGTTGATTTTTCCTCTAAAATGAAAATGAGAATATTTTACAATACCACGAGTGACGCAGGACGCCAACCGCTTTAGAGTTCTTTAACGATCCATTTAGTTGAACCTCGAAGTGAAACCTACTTCTTGGCACAATCTCTTTTAAAAAATCCGGCATTTATTGGAAGCAACGCATAAAGTATCATCGTTTATCGAAAAGAAACTTAGAGACCTGCAGACATTTGCAAACAACATTTTAACATCATCTATCTCTCTATTTTAATTTCAATACACTGAAGCAAAACTCACGGCCGTACTACACGGGCTCGGAGACCTGAAGTTCCGGTTGTACCACCCGGAGCAGTCAAAGCCACCGCTCCAGCACCCGGAACTCTCGGCCTCTGAGTCCGGAACGGACGGTACGTCCATGTATCCCGTAACTTTTTTCACTGTAAGCCACCGGTTTTCTATTTATTTTATACTCTATCAAAAAAATTAATTTTGACTAGCAGAACCATAATTTGCTCAGACCCATCTCTCTCAAGATGGTTACCCATGTCTTGCTACTCTGTAAAAAGGAACCCACTCGAACCATAGCCTTGCATGCGATAAATCGCATCGATTATGTCAAAAATTTCCGCAGATTTTGAATTTTTAGTCAAAAGAAGGATGATAGCCCCTGCGCATGAGCCTAAAAAATCAATCTAAAACCAAAAAATTGGCTGTATCTAGAGAAATGAGAGCAGAATTCTATTTGGAAAAAAACCTCGTATTCGATACAGTTATCAATTTTTGTATCGAATGCGAGGGGATTTTTTCCAAAAGGGATTCTGCTTCCATCTCTCCACATTTTGCCAATTTTTTGGTCGTAGAATGATTTTTTAGCTTCGTTCGCAGGGACTGTCGTCCTTTTTTGGGCTAAAGATTCAAAATCTGCAGAGATTTTTGACATGATCAATGCGATATATCGCATGCCAAATTGGCCAATTCGACCACGTCAGAAACCTTGACGAATCACCTTAAGAACTACACACCAGTTGGTTCGTCTACGGATCTCTAGAAGATTGTCTCCAATTTGAAGAAAAATATTCGTCACTCGACTGACAAAGGCCGTAACTACACTCAGAGATGAGCTCGGAAAATCATTGATATTTATGGGTGGCAGGGTTCATCGCGCAGTGCGGCTACGTCTCTGAGTCATAAGAGCGACGAATTCAGTGGTGTGGCGTGCTTTGCGATATATCGATTGCTATGCCATTTAAACCTATGAAAAAGGATCGATAATCAGGGTGTCCGCAGCAAACCCCTTAATAATCGATTCTTTATCATAGGTTTAAATGACAGAACAACACGCCACTGGATGCATTACATGCGCGTGCACTAAAAATGACTCTCATTGAGATAACCGTCAATTAAAAAATCAGCAATCAGTCTGCCAAATTCTCGCACAGACACAATTCTGTAATCAGGAACTACTATTGTTTGCTCATTTTAGAAACGGCATGGATGCCATTTGATTTCCTGTGCATTTAGGGGTTTTTGTGGATGAGCCCGAACTGGTAGCTTTTGATTGCAAAATGTAATCGATATCATGTAGCACTTACATTATTCTGAATTTCCGGATTACAGACTGTTCTCGCAACGAAAAATGGTACTTACCGATCTTGTTCAGATTGTATCAGCTTTTTCCACCTAGAAGAGAAGCAATTTTGTTTGTTCTCCGCGCAGTGGCGCCAGCCTGGCGCTACAGAACCCTTTTATTGAGACAATATCGCCGTCTATTTTCCCTCACTCCGGAGAGAATGCACCCCTCTTTGATTGACTCCACCAGTTTTAGGCCGTGATGTAAGGATTTTGGGGGCCATTCGAAGCAAAAAAGATGGCAACAGCCTTTTCAATATGACTCGACTTTTTTATGACACAGAATCTCCCAAAGATGCGTACATATTCCAGAGGAAAGTTTAGCCTGTAACGCTGTTGTCATTCATTTTTCAATTAAACAGGACAAGTCACCGATCAAAAAAAAAAAAAAAAAAAAAAAAAAAAAAAAAAAAAATTGCTGATGACTTAATTCACGGTGGCCTTTGAGATATCTCCGAAGGTTTGAAATTAGCGAATCTGATTGGACTTCATTTTTCAATTAAGAACCGTCATTTCCAGCTCATCCGTGGAGGCATCCATCTACTTGCTCGGATAAAAAAAAAAAAAAAAAAAAAAAAAAAAAAAAAAAAAAAAAATGAATCATATAGAACACCTAACTTTTTCGGTCCCGAACCCGAACTTTGGTTCAGCTAACTGCAATTTGGTTCTTATGCCCGAAAATCTTGGTTACCTGAGCCGAGAATTTCAGTGTTGAATATGACCAAAGTATTCTATTCCTGTAAAAGAAGTTTTTTTTTTTTTTTCGCAATGTAGGAAAATTAATGAACTTGTCGATGCTTAAACGCAAAAAATCCGCTTCTTAATTGCAACGTTTTAAAATCGCGCAGTTAATGTTTTATTTTCTTTCAAAAAGGCTAATTAAAATACTTTCGTGCGAGCAATTCTATATGATTTTTCAGAGTGAATGATGTTAATTTACAGACAATTTCAGTAGAAGGTGCCGGTTAGTTATCCCTCCAAAATAATAATAAATAGTAACTTTTCCAACTGAGCCTTTTTAAACAGTAGCGAGGCGTGTATGATCGATTATCGATATTTCTCCATTTGAAGCTACAGTAAAGAATCGATTATTGAGGTGTTCGTTGCGAACACCCTGTCTATCGATCCTTTTTCATAGGTTTAAATGCCAGATCAATCGATATATTGCCAAGCACGCCACGCAGCTGTTTTTGAAGCTTCTTTACAATGGGGAAAAGAATGCTTTAAGCGGTCAATGTAAAGGTGATGAAGTCTATCCGTTTAGAACGCACTTCAGGGTCTTCAGAGGTTGATTGGCCAATCAACATAATGAGATTACCATCAACGTTACCTACACATCCCTAAAGCTAATCTTTTTGTTTCTTGGTCTTTTCTGTGTGAGAGTATTTTCAGCGAACATTAAACGAACATACGTGATTGTTAAATTCTTACATTCCTCAATTTAACTACATTTTTCAATAAGGAACTACTGATTCTAGTGCATTTATTGAAGCGCCTATAAGCCTATACTGCCGCGCAGAGGAAAAACGCCTTATAAACATTCGAGAGTTGCCAAATTTTCTTCAATAAAATGTTTATTTTTTGAGGAAAGTTATGAATATTTTGTCTTGATATTTTCGGGAACTTTAAGTGAAATAGCAAACGACATTATCTGAAAAATTCGAAGAAAAATATTCATAAGTTTATCAGGAAATTCAAGTTTTATAAATGGAAATTTGGCAACGCCAGAAGGTTCTTACGGCGTTCTTCCTTAACAAGGTAGTATATGCATAAGAAAGCTAATGGGACATAACGACAGTGAAACTCACAAACCACGCATCTCGTTTGCCGTTTTTGAAAATCTCCGCTCTTATTTTATATTTTTATATAGGAGAAAAAATCAATGTTATGTCTTAAAGTTCTTCCAGAATTTAACACAGAAAAAGAATTGTAGACATTTTTGAGAATGGACGTACTTATGGAACGCATTCACGACTGCAAAAATGTTAATAGAAATCGAAAAGGCCAGCGTGCATGAAGGCTTTTTCAATTGCAATCTTCCGTCGCATTTCTAAGGCGCAATGATACAACTATTTGAACTCTCCGGAATGCGTTAGGTATCACG